AAGGATTTTTCACAACAGCAACTAAGCAACTCTCGAATACAAACTCTCAGTGTTTACAAAGATGATTCTTCTAAGATTGTTTAGAGAGAATCTATAAAAACTGAAATGTAAATTGTATTCTGCTTACAACTGAGGCCGAAGCCAACTTATATAGAAAAAAGCAACTATGGTTACCTAGAAAGTAACTATGGTAACCGAAAGTAACTCAGGAGGTGAAGGCAATAATGAGAGCATGGGGACAACCCGATTCAGCTTTCAATTTTGTCTTCAGGTGACTTTTGCTTTTACTTTGGTTTCGGCAACTTTTACTTATGGTGAAGTGTCGGGGCAACTTTTGCTTTCACTTTTACTCTGGCGCGACTTTTGCTTTAACTTTTCAGGTGAAATGTTGGAGAATATGGATTGGAGCAGCACGGGAAAGCAGGGCGGCTATTTTCCAAGATGCTTCAATCAATTCCACCAAGGCAACTATTGTGTCGGCAACTGGATGCTTAGTCAAACCCTAAGTCGTAGGCATCATAGGGCTGTTGACTGTCTTCATACAGGCTGTCTTCATACCAAGATTTCTTCTTGGGCTTGGGCTTATATGGTTCTGGCTCTTGCATGGGCTGGCAACTAGACGACGAGGGAGAATCATTGTCATCATCATCATCCATTTGAGAGGCTTGATTCAGCAACTGGAGGGCAATTTCTCTGATCTCAGATTTGGACTTTCCTTCAACTGAATAGGCAGATGTGGCGGATCCAGTGGGGGAGACCGGAATCTGGACAGGGCGTGGGACCGGATCAACTGGCAGATCATTGTAGACATATCTGGCAATTCTGTCAACTTCAAATTTGTCCCACCATTTGACTGAGAATTGGCGGGCAAGAACTCTAGTATCAATGGTGACCCTGTAAGACCACTTGAGAATCCAGGGAACCTTATACCGGGCAAGAAATAGCATCTGTTTAGGAAAAATTAAATCAACTCTGATGAACTTGGCTTTGAAGAATACCAGGCTTCAATATAATCGGAATAATTATATTGTAATTTTGACGACTTGAGGGTTTTCAACTGATAGGGATGACTACTGAAAAACTCTTGGCTTATGACTCTGTGTATATAAAGGGAATGATAAAGGATGATCTCAAGTTGCTGTCAAACCGCTTACAAGACTAGGATTGCAAGCCTCTATCCTTCTTTGTTTGCGTGATGCTAGATTCACTAAGTTTAGTGATAGTACTTTAGGAGTTATTGAGTCGAGTTTGTGTAATGGTCCAGTTCACCTTGATTGTTACCCAGATTTCACTGTAAGCCTTAGTGATCCACATATCCTAAAAGCCCTGACTCTGAATATTAAGACCAAAGGTTACGATGTCCTCCCAGGAACCCAACCCCTCTTTTAAACTTAATTTCTTCTTTTAGGAAGTTCAACTAGTTGGCTTTTCTGATAACCTGGACAGACCTAGAGACTGACTGTTTCTGCAAAGCCCTTAGGTTATGCAACTCAGGCTTAGAAAGAAACTCAAACTTTACCTTTTCTCCTAGGTAAGTAGATATGACACCGTCATAATCTACCTGGAAAGGATACAACAAGGAGATGAAGGGTAAACCTAAAATGACTTCGTCAGTGATGTTCGTGTATGGTCCAGTTGATGAAATTCTCCCAGTTGCAGTTCTTGAGTTAATCCGCCACTTGACCATGCTTTTCCCACCAATGAAGGAACCAGTAGGGAAAAGGACTTTTAAACTTATTGTCAAAATTAATGAACCAGGAATGGCTAAAATCCTCGGACTTGTGAAGGAAGATAGAATACCAGGCTTCAATATAATCGGAATAATTATATTGTAATTTTGACGATTGGAGGGTTTTCAACTGATAGGGATGACTACTGAAAGACTCTTGGCTTATGACTCTGTGTATATAAAGGAAATGATAAAGGATGATCCCAGATTAGTTATCAACTACAAGCCCCTTAATTCGGTCTTAGAATGGATTAGGTACCCCATACATTCTGATCCAGTTGCCATTGCTAAGCACTACTTCCCTCCTGGTTTCCACTATATGCCTCCCAGTCCGTATAAGTCCCTCAAGTATTATAGAGATATACTGTTTGAGAGCCAATCAGTTGAAATCAAGCCGATAAGGGATCGAGATCATCCTGAGATCATCCTTTATCATTCAGGAATATTTTTCAAAGGGTTAATACTCTTCCTGAGATCATCCTTAGGAATGTTTTGTGATATTAACCCTTTCTTCCTCTTTCTCACATACGTCTTTAACTCCATGGTTTGCTAACGATGGGTAGTGTAACCCAACATTGAAGAAAATAAACGACCAAGCCCGTTCATCAATCAGAATATATAGTAATCAATTGGGTTGTTTTTATTATCAATTTCTGCTGATAACTACAGCTTGCGATAACAATCAATTGCAATAATGTATTTGGAATTTAAATGCTATTGATTGGAGCAGAAAGCCGAAAGAGAAAAAAAGAAAAGATCAGCTTACAAAGACACAGGAGGGAAGAACCAAGAGAGCGGTAGGCGAGACTGGAGATGGAGGGATTTTTTTTATTTTTTATTTTGGTTGTCAAAGCCACTAACAGCGTTAGTTTTAAAAAAATGAAACAAACTTATTGTAGCCAATGTGGCATATTTACAAGCATTGGATTAGATGAATTGTCCAATTTTTATGAAATGAGGGTAAATGCACCATTTCTAAATGTAGAGGCTCGGAATCCCTCTTCCCAACATCTCCATCCAGCCTATCATTTAGTGAGCTGGCCAAGATAGGATTGTGGTTGGGTCCGGTCCTGTCCCACTTCTCGTCATGGGGGATAGGACTTGTTTTCAATGATATGTGGAACAATTGTCCATCTCCAAGCACCAAATATGAAAGACGACAATAGTCCATTTTAATCGAAATAGTCATGTCCGTCCTGTCCAATTCAAACCATGCATGTAACATACCATAGTTCTTATCAGTATTAATAATTCTCTATCTTCTTCACACTATTTTTTAATTCACTAGGTAAAAGCACAATTTCTAGTTTAGCCATAACAATACAATCAATAACTTTGGGATAGAGTTCTTTAATCACTGTCTATATAGTTTCCTCTTCATGATCATAGTACAAAATAATTGAATAGCAGTGGAAAAATCCACCCCTTATATTCAAATGAGGTTGGTTCACTTATTTAGAATATAGAATGGAGGTAATTGATAACACCTTTATCAACATGAAATGCCTTCACAAGAATGTCATTGGCAATGCTAGGCTTGGACCCAAACACAGCACTAGCGATTATCACCACACCTGGATTTTGGCTGCTGAGAGCTACAATAGCAACAGCGTGACCGGATCCTACATTTCTCTGATAGTGCACAAGTCCAATGGGGAAAACAAACACATCACCCTTCTGCAACACCTTGGTGATGTGACGATTTTCGGGGCTCGATGTCACAAACCCAACTTCAAGGCTGCCTTCCAGGACTGTGATAATTTCGGAGGCGCGAGGATGAGTGTGCGGAGGATTGACACCTGACGGTGCATAGTCGATACGGACAAGAGAAATGCCGAGAGTGTTGAGTCCTGGTAGCTGAAACACAGTTACTGGTGTTACACTTGACCCAATTGGGTTTGATGTGTTGCCTTCTAAATGAAGTCCACAAAATGAAAAATCAGCAGCTTCAACTGTCTTGGGGTCCTTGCAAGCTAGGCCATTAACCAGCACTGCCACATTTAACTTGCAAGTTAGTTTGGTAATAACATCATATTACATAGAATTCAAACCAATTTGAGTGTTTTGGTTAGTTTTTTTCACAAGCAGAGAAGCAAAAAAAATCATATATACCTCGACTTCTTGTGTCTGCAACGCAGAAATCTTGAAGCGGACTATGATCAGATGCAATGACAACTGACAAAGAAAAAGATAAGACCAACCCAAAGAAGAAAATATAAAAGGCCATTTGGTATTTTAATATGCTGCTCTAGAAGTTGTGTCTAATTTGTGGGTCAAATTAAAGTTGTGGGAAAAAATTGTGCAAAAGTGAGGAACGGCAAGGGTCTAAAACAACTACAACCATATATATATGTGTGTGTATATCTCTGCAGTTCAAGCACAGAAATATATAAAGTCTGTGGCCCCTTCTTTTCCATTTTTTCCTTTTTTTATTAGTGCTTGTTGCCTAGCGGCGTGCTACAGTAGTAGCAAAGGGATATAATGGCTTGCTCTCATGCAGACAAGCTAGTAGCAAAGGGATATAATGGCTTGCTCTCATGCAGACAAGCTAGTAGCAAAGGGATATAATGGCTTGCTCTCATGCAGACAAGCTAGTAGCAAAGGGATATAATGGCTTGCTCTCATGCAGACAAGCGTTCTCTTGTGTAATTAAATTTGAGAGCTGAAGTGGTCGGCTCCTTGTATCTTTGGCCTACCATTCACCAAGGTGTCTTTATATATAAGGGACAGAGTTATAGCTCTTTTTCCACGCGCACTTTGAAATCACATTTTGGTTTAGCTTTAAAAACTGATATCGTTGGCCTACCATTCACCAGAGTCTGCTTATATATTGATGTGATTTAATTACTTTCTTAAAAGTATAGATAAAAACAGGGATATTTGTTCTCCATGTGGTTTATTTGTTGTGTGAGAATCTACTTATTTTGTCACATGAAAAAGCCTTTGGCTATTTGATCACGGAAATGCTATAATGAGGAGTTGTGAAAACAAAAGATCTTTGGTGGAGCCTGGTTGGTGTTGTATATTGAGCTATAAAAAAATGAACAAAGTTAACCTAAATGAAGCAGAGCCGGGCCCAAAGAGCAACCAGGCCAAGACAGAGCAGATCACTCCACAGCAAAGGCCTAAACAAAGTAGTAAAAACATTGACCAGCCACACAAGGCAAGCAAAATAATCAAACAAGAAAACATATATATATATATATCAACTTGGTTTGGATTGCTTATTGAAAATAAACACGAACCGTGCGTTTTCTTTATAAATAAAAAAACACATTAGACACTCTCAAATAAACTCTCAGTCCCTTTTGACTTCAATAGAGCAGATTCCATCTTGGAGTCTAAAACCTTGACTGGAAATTGTAAATTGTGTCCTTATCCACTTGGAAAGCCCTTGTAAGAACATCACTAGAGATGTCAGGATTCGATCCAAACACTGCATTTGCAATGGTAATAACACCTGGATTTTGGCTGCTGAGAGCTGCAATGGCAACTGCATTACCATATCCAATATTGCGCTGGAAATGCAAAAGGCCTACTGGGAACACAAACACATCACCCACATGAAGTATCTTGGTGATGAGACGGTTTTCGGGGTGGGAGGTGATAAAGCCTACTTGGAGGCTCCCTTCAAGGACTGTCAAGACTTCACTGGCTCGAGGATGTGTGTGTGGAGAATTAACACCCCACGGTGCATAATCGATGCGAGCAATGGAGATGCCAAGAGTGTTAAGTCCTGCAATTTGGGCTACATTGACTGGGGTCACATGTGAACCGACCGTGTTTGATGTGTTGCCTGCTAGGTGAAGGCCACTGAAGGAGAAGTCATTGGCTTCAACAAACTTGGGGTCCTTGCAAACAAGGCCATTGACTGGTACTGAAATCATATGATCATGAGAGAACTACATTAGAAACATATATATAATTACCAGTTTACCACTAGCTGACTGATTGATATGAAGTCCTTTTTGGGAAATACAGTAACATATGTAATTATATATAGCTACCTGATCTTACTGGGTCAGCCACGCAGAAATCCTGAAGAGAACTTGGATCAGTTGCCAAAGCAATGGAACAAGTTATGGCGATGAATGCCAAAAATAGAAACTGAAAGGCCATTGGAAATAATTCAACTCCAAGTTCTCTTAAACTTTTTTTAAGGATGAACTTGAAAGAACTGTGGATTAAGACCACTACATGTCTCTGATTTTATAGAGATTAAGAGTGTTAAATTTTCTAGTCTTTGTGTGTGATCATTGAAAGCTTGTCATCACTTACCTCCCTTTATCTATAGGTGCCGGCATTGAAATGGTTTTTTTTTTCTGAATATATGATAAAGAATATATTGCTCACAAATCTTGAACTGCAAAGTTGGCAGTTGGCAGTTGGCATGCAGATTATAAAATCTTCCTACGTACGTACCTCTTTTGCTGCTCTGTTTATAATGCATAGATTTTTGTCATTCAGATTCTATGTATTAGTTATTAACTGTTCCACATACTTGCTATGTACTTAGAGTATGCATGCAGCTGGAACCTTCGGAGTATTAAAAGGAGTCATGATTTAGAATGTAGACAGCATTTAGTATTGGAGGTTTCTTTTTGTTTTAAGCAAATTTAAATGGAAAGCCGGTTCGGGTTTTTTTTAATATTGTCCGAAAGAACCAGAAATAAATGTGAACTTGTTTTTTATTCAGAGATGTGGACTCGTTTTTTAACTCATTTTTTTATGTTTCAACAAATTTTGGTTTTTTTCTTCGACACAGAACAAACTTTATGTTTTAGTGTCATTGCATTGGTCCTTTGATTTCAAGATCATCGTTTTTTTGTTGCTTGGTTATCTTGGTTTTCAGTCTATAAATCTTTTAAGCCATGTAGATGGGTTCCCAAAAATAGCTATTTTTAAATCACTGGTGATGAAAACTACTTTAGAAACAGTTTCCAAAACTCAAAGCACTCATCTTTTCCTTCAAACTCTATGTCATGGCAGAACTTCAGGATTGGTAGCAAACTTCGACAACTATTATTCTTTCTCGGAGCAATAGAATCAAACATAAACAACAACAGATCAACTTGATAACATATCAAGTGACCATAAACGAACGTCTGAATCAAACAAAATAATTGACCAACAACATGACTGCAATGAAAAATAAACTGTCCAAATTTTCTAACACTACATTACACACTTCAAATGAATTCTAAGTCCCTTTTCATTGAATTAGATTCCAAATTGGACTCTACTTGGACTGGAAATTGTAGACCGCATTCTCATCCACTTGGAAAGCCTTTGCAAGAATATCCGCAGAGATGTCCGGCTTTGATCCAAATACCACATTTGTTATGGTAATGACACCTGGATTTTGGCTGCTGAGAGCTGCAATAGCAACTGCATTACCATATCCGACATTCTGTTGGTAATGCACAAGGCCTACTGGGAACACAAACACATCACCCTTCTGAAGCACCTTGGTGATGTGGCGGTTTTCAGGGTTGGAGGTGACAAAACCCACTTTGAGGCTCCCTTCCAGGACTGTTAAGATTTCGCTTGCTCGAGGATGTGTGTGGGTAGGATTAATTCCCCATGGTGCATAGTCGATGCGCGCAATGGAGATGCCAAGAGTATTAAGTCCTGATATTTGAGCTACATTAACAGGGGTCACGTGTGAGCCAACTGCGTTTGATGTGTTTCCTGCTAGGTGAAGCCCACTGAAGAAGAAGTCATTGGCATCAACAAGTTTGGAATCCTTGCAGACAACACCATTCACCAGTACTGAAATCATGATGAGAAAATTCCATTAGAAACATAAAAAAATTCCACTAGCTGGTTGACATTATCCTCGTATATATGTACATATGAATATGATTCTAGCTAGCTAGCTATCTAAGGTTTTCGGATCAGCCACGCAGAAATCTTGAAGAGAACTTGGGTCAGATGCCAAAGCAATGGAAGAAATTATGGCAAGGAAAGCCAACAACAGAAGCTGAGAGGCCATTGGAATTTGGAATTCTTTGGCTCTATATTGTCACACTGTCAAGACAGTAAACTTTGGAAGCAAGTATAAACTTGAATTGTGGATTGAGAACATATGCCGCTGCAGCTTTTATAGAGAGGGAGCTCGAGCTTGTGGGTTGTCCTATATGCACCGAAAATGTCTATTAGTCTTTGTATCTGCGTATGTGAATTTGTTCTGTACTGAAAGCTTGTCATCAATTACCTGACTCAAATCTCAGATGCCGGCCTTTAAATGGTTCCTTTCTGTGTATGTATGATAAGAATAGCTAACCAGGTCAAAGTTAATGAACGGAGGCTATCTTATTATTTTATAGTGGAAATTTTGGCCCTATTCTTAACTTGATGAGCTTCAGGAGACTTCTTCAGTTGAACAGGTCATTATGAAGCTAACTTATATGCCTTTATATTTATACAATACTTGATTTTGTCAAACTCTGTCTTGAGATATTTTATCAATCTAGAAGTTTCTTTCATATATGAAAAACTACGAACAATAACAAAGGAAATTCTTTCTATGTAAATTATTCTTCGATTCCATCAGACAACCATGCAAATCCTTTGCACAATTGAGTGTAATATGAAGGGTCACTTACCTTGTTGGAAGATAAAGAGAAAAAATTAAGGAATTTAGCAAGCCACCAACAGTTTGCTTAAGATATTTCAAAATGGTTGCTTCCATCATGGAGTTTTAGCCACAAATTCTTTTCGTGGCCACATTTTCTACGTAAAATACCATCAGCGAGTATTTTTTGCTAATGATCCATAGAGAAGAAATCACCATATCATCTCTACAGGTATCTTCTGAAACTACAACTAACAGGATTTCATTACTGAAGGTGTTTAGCAGCGAACCACCTTATCTTGCAGTGCTCATAGCTGGAGGCATTTTCATGATCAGTCAACCTAACAGTTACCTATAGCTTAGTTTCTAATCTTCAGGATTCCCAATTGCTCTCACTGTTTTATTTTACCCTTGTTACATCAATTTTCCGTTCAGCAGAATTTATGTTCTCCTTTAACTGCATTGGTCTTTTGCTTTCTGGATCATCATTCTTGCTTTAACTGATTGGTTTAAGCCCTTAAATCTTTTAAGGCAAGGCAAGAATTCTACAAATAAATAAATAAAATTTCCTAACCTCTTGTCAGTTGTTCATGAGATTGCATGGACATTTGCTAGCTGGCTAAAATTGTTTTCCAGTACTTTAACCATGGCCTCCATATATGATAGCAAACTTCAATAATAATTTTATTTCTTGGAGCCTCGAATCAAACAAATAGCAAATAAACTTGAGTACATTTCTAAGTGAGCATAAACAAATGATTCTGAATCAGACGAAATTTATGGTAGACCAACAAGACTGCAACGAGAAATAAACCGTGACAATTTTCTTAACACTACATTACACACTTCAAATGAATTGTCTGTCCCTTTTCAGTGAACTATAGAGGTTCCAAATGGGACTTTAAAACTTCGACTGGAAATTGTAGACAGTGTTCTTCTCCACTTGGAAAGCCTTTGCAAGAATATCAGCAGAGATGTCGGGCTTTGATCCAAATACTGCATTTGCAATGGTAATGACACCTGGATTTTGGCTGCTGAGAGCTGAAATGGCAATTGCATTACCATATCCCACATTTTGTTGGAAATGCACGAGACCGACAGGGAACACAAACACATCACCCTTCTCAAGTACCTTGGTGATGAGACGGTTTTCGGGGTTGGAAGTGACAAAACCCACTTTGAGGCTCCCTTCCAGGACTGTAAAGATTTCACTTGCTCGAGGATGTGTGTGTGGAGGGTTAATACCCCATGGTGCATAGTCGATACGGGCAACAGAGATACCAAGAGCGTTAAGTCCTGCAATTTGGGCTACGTTGATAAGGGTCACACGCGAACCAACTGCATTTGATGTGTTGCCTGCTAGATGAAGCCCACTGAAGAAGAAGTCATTGGCTTCAACAAGCTTAGGATCCTTGCAGACAAGACCATTCACAAGTACTGAAATCATGATGAGAAAATTACATTAGACACGGATACAGTTTACCATTTTATCATAGTATGCATGTATTTGTTTTGCAGAAATACAACAAAAAATATATGAAATTGTGATTCTAGCTACCTGAGTTCTTTGCATCAGCCACGCAGAAATCCTGAAGAGAACTCGGGTCAGATGCCAAAGCAATGGAAGAAGCTATGGCGAGCAATGCCAACAAGAGAAACTTAGAGGCCATGGGAAATTCTCTCTATCTTAATGTCACACTATATATCAAAGATTCAAGGCAGTAAACAGAGAGATGGACCAACTTTGCTTAAACTTTGTAAGCAATGATATATATAAACTTGAGTTGTGGATTGACAACATATCTCTGTCTCTGCTTTTATAGAGAGAGGGATCTCTTCTCTACGTGTTTGTTGTTGTCCTATGCTTTGAAAAAGTCCAGTCTTCATTTTTATCCTTGTAGTACAAATTTTCGTAGAAAGCTGCTTGTCATCGCTTATCTGATCACTTTAATTTTCAGGTGCCGGCATTGGTGCTTGGCCTGCTGTCATTTAGGAAGCATTCCTTTCTCTGTGTGACGAGAATCTTTAGCTGGGTCAGATTGATGGAGAGGCAAAGCCAATTGCCTTGCTTTGACTTAAACAAGGATATATAATGTCTGGAGCAGATGTGGACTTATTCAATTTGGTGTAGTTTTGCACACAAAAGTATGAAACATTTAAAAATTTGTTAAACTGCTGTATCATTAAATATTATTTTATGGTTTATGATAGACAGAGGATTTCGGAATCACTCCATCATAATAACACGATTGCAATCAGCTCCACCAAATTGCTTTATCTTGAGGATTTCCGAAATCCTCTGTCTATCAGATTAAATCATCAGAGCCTGAGAAAGCTTGCCCTTGTTCTAATTAATTTTGTTGAGCAGCTAACCATTCTTTATAAACAAACTAAATGATCGCTAACAGAACATGAATTTTGAAAAGAGTAGGCCTGGTACCTTGAACTGTATAGGCACAAAAGTAGGTAAAATATGCATGCATGACCAATAATAGTGAAGTTCATCCCAGACTTCAAATCTGTCAACATTTGCATCAGACAACCATGCAAATACTTTTACACAATTGAATGTAATCTGAAGGGTTAAGAAGAGAGAATCGGTGAGTCGAGATGGGCTGAGGATTTGTCAAATAACTAATTTTAAAACGTATTTGAAATACTTTGGCTTATTAAATTCTATGAGGATTTGGCCTAAATCCAAATCCAGTCAATTAATACACAACTGAACAATTGGATTTGGAGTTAGGATCCCAAGTCCAAATCCACCCTTACCCAAACGGACAAAGAATTTAGCATGCGGCTAAAACTTTGCTAAAGTTATTTCAAAAGGCTTAGGCCCCGTTTGGGATTGCTTTTTTTCACCAAAAACCTGCTTCACTTTAAAGTTAAGCAGTTTTAGGTGTTTGGTAAAAATAAAATATCTAGATTATTTTAAAAGCAGTGGCCTTTTGACAGCAGCTTTTAAAAGCAGGCTATGGGTTGCTTTTCAAAGCTGCTTTCAAAAGAAGCAGAGATGAACATTTAATGAATTTTTTTAATTCCCAAAATACCATCATTCATTTTAAAAAATAATCCCCCCTCCACTTCCACATCCAACTCCACCACTTACACCACCACATTCACTACCTCCACAACCACCGCCATCGCAACCGCCATCACCACCACTACCACCTCCTCCACCACCACCAACTCCACCTTCACCTCCACCGCCACCACCACAACCACCACCACCCACTCCACCCTCAACATAACACTTTTAACATCATGTCTATTTTAGTCATTATTCACAGTTACAACAATTTTATATTAAAACTTACCAAACGGTTTTGACACTGCTTTTTGTACTGACAGCACTTTAAAAATATTGTTTACCAAACACGGAGCTGCTTTACTTTACAGCTAATTATTTTCAAAGCACAGCAGAAGCAACTTTTTTTAAACAAATTCTTTTAGTGACCACATACCTCATGATAATTTTTTTTTTTTTTTTGGGCTAATGATCCATAGAAAAGAATTCACCATATCATCTCTACAGGTATATTCTGACACAACAAAACAGAATTTCATTAGTAAAAGTGTTTAATTAGCAACAAACCACTTTGTCGCCGCCTTATCTTCCAGTCTCATAGCTGGAGGCATGTTCATGATCCGCCAACCTACCAGCTACCTAGCTTAGTTTGTAACCTTCAGGATTCCCAATTGCTCTCATTCTTTGATTTTAGGCTTGTTACTTCACTTTTCCATTCAGCAGAAATTCTATTCTCCTTTAATTGCATTGGTCTTTTCGTTTCTAGATCATCATTTGATTGGTTTAAGCCCTTAAATCTTTTATGGCATGGCAGGAATCTAAAAGTTTTTTCCTGACCTCTTTCCAATTGTTCATGAGATGTTAGATATGCATGGACGTTCGCTAGCAGGCTAAATTTCATTTACTTTACTTCAACCATGGCCTCCAGATATGGTAGCAAACTTCCATAATTTTTATTTCTTGGAGCAATAGAATCAAACAAAAAACAAATAAACTTGAGTACATTTCTAAGTGAGCACAAACAAATGATTCTGAACCAGACACAATGACAGACCAACACGACTGCAAAGCGAAATAAACTGTAACAAACAATTTTCTAAGCACTACAATACACACTTCAAATGAATTTTACATCCCTTTTCAGTGAACTGTAGAGGTTCCAAATGGGACTTTAAAACTTCGACTGGAAATTGTAGACTGTGTTCTTCTCCACTTGGAAAGCCTTCGCAAGAATATCAGCAGAGATGTCGGGCTTTGATCCAAATACTGCATTTGCAATGGTAATGACACCTGGATTTTGGCTGCTGAGAGCTGCAATGGCAACTGCATTACCATATCCCACATTTTGTTGGAAATGCACGAGACCGACAGGGAACACAAACACATCACCCTTCTCAAGTACCTTGGTGATGAGACGGTTTTCAGGGTTGGAAGTGACAAAACCCACTTTGAGGCTCCCTTCCAGGACTGTCAAGATTTCACTTGCTCGAGGATGTGTGTGGGGAGGGTTAATACCCCATGGTGCATAGTCGATACGCGCAATGGAGATACCAAGAGCGTTAAGTCCTGCAATTTGGGCTACGTTGACAGGGGTCACACGCGAACCAACTGCATTTGATGTGTTTCCTGATAGGTGAAGCCCACTGAAGAAGAAGTCATTGGCTTCAGCAAGCTTGGGATCCTTGCAGACAAGACCATTCACAAGTACTGAAATCATGATGAGAAAGTTACATTAGACACATTAGATCCAGATATAGTTGACTATTTGATCATATTATAGATGCATGTTTTCAGCAAATACAAGCAGAAATGTATGAAAATATGATTCTAGTTACCTGAGTTCTTTGCGTCGGCCACGCAGAAATCCTGAAGAGAACTCGGGTCAGATGCAAAAGCAATGGAGGAAGTTATGGCAAGCAATGCTAACAAGAGAAACTTAGAGGCCATTGGAAATTCTCTCTATCTTAATGTCACACTATATATCGAAGATTCAAGACAGGAAGCGGAGAGATGGAGCAACTCTGCTTAAACTTTGTAAGTGAGGATATGTATAAACTTGAGTTGTGGATTGAAACCATATCTATGCCTCTGCTTTTATAGAGGGAGGGATCTCTTCTCTACGTGTTTTTTGTTGTCCTGTGCTCTGAAAAAGTCTTTTTTTAAACCCTATAGTACAAGTTTTTCATATAAAGCTGCATGTCATCGCTTATCTGATCACCTTAATTTTCTGGTGCCGGCATTGGTGCTTGGCCTGCTGCCATTGAGGAAGGGTTCCTTTCTCTTTGTGACAAGAATCTTTAGCCGGGTCAGATTTGATGGAGGCCGTATGGCCCGTATCATATTACTCACAAATTTAAAAGGGCTTCTAGAATAAATTTTATAAAACTCTCGGCACCTATTTCTCTGCTCTTTCTGCAATGAATAGATTTATTGTCATTCAGAATTTATGTTATAGTTATATACTACACAATTGGTACAGCTGGGAAGTATCAGATAATCTATTGGAGGCTTCTTTTTGTTTCATGCAAATTTGGTTTGAAATCCAGTTGCCTTGCGTTGACTTGAACAAGGATATATTATGTCTGGACAGCAGGTGTGGACTCATTCAATTTGGTGTAGTTTCCACACAAAAGTATGAAACTTTATTATAATAAAAAAAGGTTAACATGCATCATTCAGTCATGCTTGTACATGAGACATCAGAAATGCATTAATTTAAGCCAAGCTGCAGGACCATCCTCTAACCAAATAGACGCATCCATGCATGTCTTAGCAATGCCTTAGTTTCCAAGTTATGAGTTGCAAGTCTAAACAAGCCATTAAAACTTGATCCCTAAAACAGAGAGAAAAAGGAGTAAAAAAACAGGCCATTAAACAATACTTCAATATACCATCTCCTGCTGATTTAGGGATCAAGGTTTATGATTCAACTCTCAATTCGTCGAGAGCCGAACTCAAGGCTACACCATATTATTATGTATAAAACTCAATGTGCTGTAGTTCAAACCATCAGATTTCATTCATTTATAGAGTAGAGCACTGAGGTTTCTTGTCAGCAAAAATGGAAATTTACCCAATTGTTGAAAGAAGGGCACTGAGGTTTCTTATCAGCAAAAATGGAAATTTACAAGTCCTTGGTAAAATTATTACATTAATAATCAAATCTACTCAAAATTATTTTCATGGCATGACCTCCGGGTGTGGTAAGTTAGTATCAATGTCCATGATTATCACTCAAACCAATAGAATGAAACAAAATAATAGATCAACTTTGATTATACTGGTGTATGAGCACAAACAAATTATCTTCATGAAGTATCAGCATCAAACAAAATAACAGACCTTGTTCCTAAAATAACAAAAACAAAATACAAGACAAACATGATTGCACCCCTAAGTGAAACGTAACGATTCTCTAAACACTAATACACACTTCAAATGACCCTTTTTAGTCCCTCTTGATTGAATCAGAGGTTTCAAATTGGACTCTAAAACTTTGACTGGAAGTTGTAGACTGTGTTCTTATCCACTTGGAAAGCCTTTGCAAGAATATCAGCAGAGATGTCCGGCTTTGATCCAAATACTGCATTTGCAACGGTAATAACACCTGGATTTTGGCTGTTGAGAGCTGCAATGGCAACTGCGTTACCATATCCAACGTTCTGTTGGAAATGCACAAGGCCTACTGGGAACACAAACACATCACCCTTCTGAAGCACCTTGGTGATGAGGCGGTTTTCAGGGTTGGAGGTGACAAAACCAACTTTGAGGCTCCCTTCCAGGACTGTCAAAACTTCAGTGGCTCGAGGATGTGTGTGTGGAGGATTAATACCCCACGGGGCATAATCGATACGCACAATGGAGATGCCAAGTGTATTAAGTCCCGGAATTTGGACTGCGTTAACAGGGGTCACGCGTGAACCAACTGCATTCGAGGTGTTTCCTGCTAGGTGAAGTCCACTGAAGAAGAAGTCATTGGCATCAACAAGCTTAGAATCCTTGCAGACAAAGCCATTCACTGGTACTGAAATCAAATGAGAAAATTACATTAGAACCATATATAATTACAGCTAGCTGATTGATATTATCTTCATAATATAGATAATATATGAATATGATTCTAGCTAGCTAGGTACCTGAGGCTTTTGAATCAGCCACACAGAAATCCTGAAGAGAACTCGGGTCAGATGCCGAAGCAATGGCACAAGTTATGGCAAGGAATGCCAACAACAGAAACTGAGAGGCCATTGTAATTTGGAAATTCTTTGGCTCTCTATTATCACACTTAAACTTTGTGAAGAAGGATAAACTTGAACTGTGGATAAAGACCACCATATGTTGCTGCTTTTATAGAGACAAGTAGCTAGCTCGTACCTTTTGTGTTCTTCTCTGCACAGAAAAAGTCTAGGCTTGAAACCGTGTGTGACAATTTGTTTAACTAAAGGCTTGTCATCTTTTACCTCGTTTTATTCAGGCAACGGCATCGGTGCCGGCATTGAAATGATTCCCTTTCTGTTTATGAGAAGAAATTAAGAATAGCCAAGTCAAAGTTAATGGAGGCTTGTATTACTCATAAAATTTAGTAATTACTTTGGCCTATTCTTGAGATTGAGTTAAGGAGACCAGTTCAGTTTCTTTTGTCAATGTTTTTAGTTGTGTATTTGCTGTTCGTTTTTAGTGTTACGTTTTTGCCCAGCAAGGATTGGAAGAAAGAAACTACAAATTGCATACTTTTCTTAAGGAAACACAAGGGTTAATTACTCAAATGGTCCTCAAATTTATACTCAATTTACATTTTGGTCTCTCAATTAAATTATTCGTTCAAATGGTCCTACTGTTACATTCTGTCAATGTTGCTGTCAAATGTAAGGGTGAAACCGTCCATAACCATCATGTTCCCCAAATAGGTGATAAAGTAGTGATACATAGATGATACAGTGGTGATAAAGGGGTTATGGAAATTGATGTTTGTGTTTACCTTCGGTTTCTTGTTTTGTTTCATTTCTTCTACTTTTCTTTACTCATTTCTAGCATCCTAATTGTATTTTACCTTTGTGTTATGTTAAATAAGTATTATTTACGTACTCAAACTAGAACTTTGTATAAGCCTCCAGTTCCTCGTTGGAACAATCCCATATTTACAAATATATACTCCAATAGATTTGTACACTTACGGGTATTTTTAATTGGATGATTAGCACAGTAATTTGTGCCTGCCAATTATTAATACAACATCAAGCAATGCATTATAATCTAGTACCAAGAAATCCTCCAATTAAAAGAGCCAATCTAGCTAGAATAAGAGCTTTCTTTCGTTTCAAGTGGCCAAAAATATTTTGGTTCCACTGGTTTAGAGGAGCAATTAACCCATATGACTTATCAAGAGCAAAACCAGGTGTCTGCCTCCATTTTTGCGTCACAAAATCTTTGAAACTTCCATGCTGCATTCACATCACTTCAAATCTAAAGTTCTGGCATTTGCAGAGGAGATCATGCATGACTACAGAGAGATTTTAATAGGACAATGGTAAAATACAATTAGGATACTATAAACAAGTAAAGAAAGATAGAAGAAATGAAATAAAATAAGAAACAAAAGGTAAACATAAACAGCAATTTCGATCACCTCTTTATCACCACAGTATCACTACTGTATCACTATTTTCTCACCTATTTATTACTACTTTATCACTTATTTAGGGAAGATATGACGATTATTACATTTAACGGCAACATTGACAGAATGTAATGATAGGACCAATGGACAGAATAATATAGAGTTGATGGGTCATCTGAACGAATAATTTAATTGAGGAACTAAAATGTAAATTGAGTATAAATTTGAAGGCCATTTGAGTAATTAACCCAAAAAGACAAATTACACGTAAAGACAATTTCAATTATTTTTAAATTTTCTGTCATCTCTTGCCCACCTCCCTCATCTTACTCCCTTCTTTCTCTCGTATACTTCCCTCCTCCAAAAAGCAAAACAAAACCAAACTCATTCATAATAGGGCAAAGGAAAAGATAGGTGTCACGGGGCTTCCTTTAAAATCTCTGTAGAGAGAGAACTCTTTAAAAGAGAATCGATATTACAATAACCATATGTTACAAGACAGAAAAATCCATCATTGAAATATAAGCTTCACATTATATGCCCTACACAAAATCCAACACAAAAGCGCTGTTACCAAAAACCCATCTCTTATACAAGGACCCTCACCCCCCACAATCCATACATCATATCAAATCTAAATTGACTGAGCACCAGACAATCACCCTTTCAAAGTAAGCCAACAACATACCAATTTTTAGACAAACTGAGAAACTACAAAGATACATCAAGCACCAAGCTCCTCTTCCTCCTCCTCGTACTCTTCCTCCTCCACTGTTGCATCCTGGTATTGCTGGTACTCAGCCACCAGATCGTTCATGTTACTCTCGGCCTCGGTGAACTCCATCTCATCCATTCCCTCGCCGGTGTACCAATGCAAGAAAGCCTTGCGCCTGAACATAGCTGTGAACTGCTCGCTAACTCTCCTGAACATTTCCTGAATAGAAGTCGAATTCCCCATAAAAGTGGACGCCATCTTCAGACCCTTGGGTGGGATGTCACACACACTGGACTTTACATTATTGGGAATCCACTCAACAAAGTATGAGGAGTTCTTGTTCTGGACGTTAATCATCTGTTCATCAACTTCTTTGGTGCTCATCTTACCACGGAACATGGCAGAAGCAGTAAGGTAACGTCCATGGCGTGGGTCAGCTGCGCACATCATGTTTTTGGCATCCCACATCTGCTGGGTCAATTCGGGCACGGTCAGAGCACTGTACTGCTGCGATCCTCTTGAAGTTAGGGGTGCAAACCCAACCATAAAGAAGTGCAGCCGTGGGAAAGGGATAAGGTTAACTGCAAGCTTCCTAAGGTCAGAGTTCAACTGTCCAGGAAACCGAAGACAACATGTGACACCGCTCATGGTGGCAGAGATGAGGTGGTTAAGGTCACCAACTGCAATCACAATGCAAAGAAATATGTCAAAAGGATCACATAGCATATCTTCCAATTATCACTTAAGATTCGTATGTGCACACACAATTTATATCGTTTCTTTATAAGATGCCAATTTCTGAGGAAAACTAATTTATCATATAACCATTGTCAGCTACTATATACATATTAAGATATGGACTTACAAGTAGGGGTGGCAAGCTTGAGAGTACGGAAGCAGATGTCATACAGAGCCTCGTTGTCCAAAACCATACATTCATCGGCATTTTCGACAAGCTGATGCACGGAAAGGGTAGCATTGTATGGCTCAACAACTGTATCCGACACCTTCGGAGATGGGAAGACAGAAAATGTCATCATCATCCGATCTGGGTACTCTTCCCTGATCTTGGAAATAAGAAGAGTTCCCATGCCAGAGCCAGTGCCACCACCCAAAGAATGACAAACTTGGAATCCTGTTCAAAACAAAATGGAAATATTAAAATTTTGAATCATAGAATCCAAATCAGCCATTCAAATTCTAAACCAAACAGAAGCACAATCCGGTCAGACAAATTAAGCATTTTTAATTGCAGCATCACAATTATTATTGCTACAAGCCTACAATTTCCAAAAATTAACCATGATTAAGCGCTATAAAGACATTCAAGCCAACCCATATAAGACATGGGACATAATTAGGCACCACAATATCATATTCAATCACACTCGCAAAAGTAAAATCAAATAACCACTAAATTTCGAAGAAACCAGAAAACATTTTCATCATACCCTGTAAGCAGTCGCAGTTCTCGGCCTCTTTGCGCACCACGTCAAGCACAGAATCAATAAGCTCGGCACCCTCCGTATAATGCCCCTTAGCCCAGTTGTTTCCAGCCCCAGACTGCCCGAAGACGAAGTTATCGGGTCTGAATATCTGCCCAAACGGGCCAGATCGGACCGAGTCCATGGTCCCAGGCTCCAGATCCATAAGGACCGCCCGTGGAACGAACCTTCCGCCGCTGGCCTCGTTGTAATAGACATTGATTCGCTCTAGCTGGAGCTCAGAGTCGCCATTGTACCTCCCGGTGCTGTCTATGCCGTGCTCGTCGCAGATCACTTCCCAGAACTTGGCCCCAATCTGGTTCCCACATTGGCCGCCCTGGATGTGAAGAATTTCTCTCATTTTTGCTGGTCTGAGTTCTGTTTGGTTTCCGGGAAAATGGGAGGGAAAATATTATGAGACGGGGTTTGGTTTTGCCGCGATTGAATGGAGAGGAGCGGGTAGTGGGGAAATGTGGCGTCAGATTGTATTTTAAAGGGTGGGTGGCGTGGAAATATGGGGACTATGTAGGGGTATTTGGGGAAATCGTGTCTGCATTATTATTGGTATGTTTTTTTTTTTGTGGGGATTCGGAATTTCTAATTTTGGGTGATGTGTTGTCCGACATAGTGAAATTAAGATTTTATTCTTTATATTTTATATTAAAAATAAATTGAATTGCTGGAATTTTTGTAGAATTATTAGGGAGTGCCCACTGCCCACCGAATTTTTGCCTTTGCTTCAAGCAAAACAAAAATGGGCAAAAGCCATAAAAGCTTGATACGTGGCTTTTTTGGGTAATTTATTTCAATTGTTTCTCTTCTGAATTTTGGGAGAGCCACCTAATATGCTATAGTTGGTGCTTTCTATTTCGATTGCAAATGTGTGTAAGATTTGAATTATGTAATTGAAAATTACATTGCAAATTTGGTTATGTGATGAAACAATGAAAACAAATGACAATACAGAATCTTGTAAGAATATCTTGTAAATGTTCTATTCTATGTGGCTCACATGATATGGCATACGTGTTATGTAAGTTACTCTTAAAATAGTTTAGTAAATATTATTCAGAAAATCTTATTGATCAAATTAGGAGAAGTAATTTCCTATTCTATTATCGTGATGGGTGGTAATTACTTAGAGCTACACTGAGAAATTGGTTCTCTTTCTACCTATAACAGTTTATATTAAGTTTTCTAAAGTGCAAAATGTTAAAGAAAGCGAAACATGTTTCCTCTACAGTAACGGCTCAACAAATATCTTCATCTACTGGAAGACTAATTATCTATGTATGTAATTTGTGCTTATTGAATTTCTATAATGTTATGATAAAAGATGAAAGTGCCATCATCCATCTGAAAATCAAATGATTACATCATTATAAAGAAAACCAATCAATCTTTTACAACTTAAAAGAGACATCATTCATATAGAGAGAATCATATCATGATTATCCTTGATTAGAACCCAACCATATTTATAATATAAAAAAACCATAGATGTCCAATTGTATGCTCAAACATCAAGCATCTATTGCAACCAAAGAGCTTTGCTTAAAACTCCAACCCACACACTTTCCACAATATACCTTTCAAAATTTACATTGGATTTGCTCAAAGATCTAGCCACAATGGCATGAACGCAAAGGGTTGCCATCATTTGAGGGGGTCCATTCCAGCTTAGTTGCTTTAGTTCTGGAATTGATGGATGCCATTGTAACAATGGATGATGGGATCCAATCAATCTTATTCATAACTCTGTTCTTATACAAACACGATAGGGAAATATAACCAATATATGAGGACAAACTAATAGGATTGCAATTGAAGTGTAAATATGAAATTGACACCCGATCTTTCATACTAATTCTTAGTTAGTAGCAAATCAAACTCTTCAAATTGAAGTTTGTTGACCTACTATATTAGATTTCTCTCTTTATTAATCTACATCTAGTTTATGCATGCTCAATATATTGGGCTTGGAAGCTTGGGCTTAGGCTATAGGCCCATATCATTGTTGCTTGATGGGCCTAACAAGTTTTGGGCTTCATACTTTATAATTTTGGCTTCGTTTTTCTTTTTCTTTTTTTCGGAATTATAATCTCATTGTGAATACAGATGTCAGATGATGAATGCGTATGTATGATATTGTTAAACAAAAGAGATTTTGTTGTTCACTTGAAGATGGTCAATATCTTTTCCCACTTGATATGGAACTTAGCTCCTCTCCACTTGTAGGCTTATAGTACAAAATGGAGAGGCCAATGTAGAATGGCACCGTGAAGTGTGCTTTCCAGCTTGATTTCCATAAAGGGAGTTCATGGTTAGGTGGTACAACCCTTTTGTTGATTTTGTGTTAGATTTATGTGGTGTATAGTTTCTAAATTACCAACCTAGCTCTCTTTAGGTAGAGAAACGTGCCTATATCGGGATGTCATTGTGGAGTATTCCCAAATCAATCATGTATTATAATACATTTTAACTTTTTCACGTTATATTGTGTGATTGGTTTGAGATACTGTCACAATGTCATACTTATTGCATGAAAATTCTCCTATCTAAAAATACAAGTCGGGCAGGTTGAATAGATAACCTAAGCTAACTCAGCTTGCTTAATTGAAGTCACGAACTTAAATTCAAGCGGATCCAAGTTGAATTCATATAAATTGAGCCCCCTAATTCAAGCTCAATCTGAAATTTGATCATGTTGGTAAGCCACAAACCCACCTCCTATCTACGCATGTAAAACTAACATCATTCTAATGTGTTTTTATTTTCAAAGTTTCAAACTTGGTTTCATTTACACGCTTTCAACTTTGCTTTTGTGTTTTGTACTTTGCAGTAGTGAAGAAGGAAACTAGTTGTAACAAGCTGTCCCAACCCAAATCAAAAAGCATGTGACCAAATGAGTAAAAACAACAAAAATGCAGTCAAACATCATCATTAATTCAACGTGCGTTTTTCTTTTTTGATGCGTCTATGTATACAGTCTCTCAAAGCTCTCCCTTGTGTAAATTTCTTGAACGGGTAATTAAGCACACGTTTCACATAAGTTCAATGAGAAAACCCCAACTTGGAAATTTAATCTGTTGTTTAATGCAAAACCCATAAACAAATACGCACTTGATAAAGTTAGAATCCCACCAAAACTTGTAAGATTTTCCCATTTTACACGATCACAGGCTAAGACCAATTGAGCTGTTTTTGCTTTTTTTGGTGCAAGGAAAGATCAACCCTTTTTCAGAAAGAGTCTATGGCTTTATGTGAAAAAACATAAGAATATACATGCACAATAACCACATACACTTTATATTTTTTGTTTTGTTTTCTAACCATCGTAGTCATACTTTAGTTGATGGTAACAAACTACATTATTTTAGTAAATAATGCATGGAATCTATACGATGAATTATTGACCTGGTTTCATTTCTTTTTTCAATTCTCATTTTAGTCTTTTTCTAATACACGTGATAGTCTAAACTAAAAGAGAGTGAAATTTTTTACACACAGACATACAATTAAGATGCGAAACGTTCGAAGACCTCTGTTCTATAAGTTAATGTCCTTTTTCTATTAGTCTAAACTCTGTTGGCCATTATCACTTTTGTCCCTTTTCTTTTTATTGTTTATCTCTGTGTGACAAAAGCATGGCTGCCATTGGATTCTAAATTTCTCTAATCACAACACGGTAATGGGGTCCCGTCTAAGAAATATCTTAACCTAGTCCGACAATGTTATTAAGTGGTTTTCAGTGTGGAGTGGGGGACATATGAGAAAGGCTGAAAAGGTGATAAAATTGGCTTTTTTTGGGTGTGAAATTTGTTCCTACACATGCCAGTTTTATATGATGTGATGAGTTTTTGTTGTTGTTAATAATTTATTTTTGTTTTAGAAGAGGTAAGCAAATTCTTATCTAGACAAACAACCTATCAAAGGTTTTCTATAATTTTGGGGCTCTATCATTTTAAGCACCAGATGGGAATTGCGTATTGGACAAAGGTTAGGTCGATCACTCTTGGATAGCAAAACAAATAACAATAATAAAATAATCAGGAAGTTCAATTGGATGGGATATTTATTTACAAATTACACTTGTTAGCCACTTGGCCAAAGGGAGATTTCAAGAGATATTTTTTCTTTTGCTATTTCAAGTGCTATTTCAATTCATTTAATATTTTGAAGTTGACATGTGTTAACATCCATGCCCTCCTAGTACTCAAAAACTACATCTTAGGTTAATACGTGTCCTTTTTAAAATCAAATAGAAACTTCATTAGATAAACTTTAACAATATAATCAAAGACATCAACAAGACATTTAAAATATCAATCTCAAGAGGGTGCCAAACTAATATGCTAAAAGCAAAACTAACACGGGACAAAAGCCGCATGAAAATTACTAGTCTATATCACCACAATTAGCCATAAGCCCAAACAAAGTCTACAAACTCAACATACCCTAAAACAACCCATGAGCTTAGATGAACCCTATCACCACCACTTGAAAAAACACCGTCGCGGCCACACCCATCACCTCATCCAAAACAGATTCGGGAAAAATATGATTTATAGTTATCTACTTGAGCATAAGAACGAACAAATAAAAAAGAACAACAATTGAGTGATTTGCAGCAACCTCAGTCAAAGATGATGTAGAATCAAATTTAGAGAACATGAAAGAAGTTTTTTTTTTTTTTAATAGATGCTTTATTAAAATAATAAGCACTATAAGCGACGTTGGGGAGCAGGTTTTGGGAGTAGGATTAGATTGAGAACATAAATTAAAAAGGGTGATGGGGAACTTCAATCTAACCATGACTTAGAAAAAACCACCACAATGAGTTTTTTATTCAAACCGCCCAGTGGACTTACTTATTAAAGTGAATGTTCGTTGTAAATATGAAGGTTCCAAATCGAACATTTGTATATCATCGAACTTTAAGAATTTAAGTTTATGATCAAATAAATAACTAAATTAACGGTTCACTGCAATTCAACATAACAAATACATATAATTTTTACAATGAAAACTAAAATCAATTTTGAAACCGTTTTGTTTGTTGTAGTTCTCTTTGTTATTGATCCCATCCTCACTCTTCTCTTTTACCCAAAGGAAAACAGAAAACCAAAATTTTTAACTGAAAAATGAAGACGGGAACAGAAATGTCACCGAACGAGAGCTTTTTATTATTTGGGGGATTCAATCCCATTTTCCACAGAGCCACGACGAAAACAAAACAAAACAAAATAAAATTCCCGAAACGCAGAAACAGAAAAGACAGAAAAGGAATTTCCAAGTCTCTCTCTCTCTCTCTCTTCCCCACTCATAAGAAGCCGCACCGCGTTCAAAGTTTCAACCTTTCAACTTTCAACTACTCTACTCTGCTCATAATTTCCTCTCACTTTTGCAAACCCTTTTCTGAATTTTTTTTATTAATTTTTAAATTGTTAACATTAAAGTTCAATTCTTTTTCAGAAACAGGGGACGACGGACTGCTATAAAATAAAGCCAAAGTAAAGTCCTTTTTTCCTCACATCTAAATAAGAAATTGAGTTTCCTCTGGAAACCAATTCTTAAGCTCTGTTTTTTTCTTCCCAAATTTTCACTGACCATGCCGCTTCCGTGGAAGAAGATGCGGGTGAACCGAATTTCCCAATTCGTCGCCGATCTCCAATCACCGAAACGGGGCGGTTCACTCGTGGTCCAGACTGGTTTTCCGACCTCCCTCGTCGACCTCTTCGTCAAGAACCGCGATCACTTGAAAAAGCCGTCGAAAAAGAACAAGAACAGGAAGAAGAATAACCGGTCGGCTGACCAGGTCAACGATCGGATCACGGCGAATTGTGAACTGGGTTCGGGCAATTTCGGGATTTTGGTGCAACCCAGTTCACCAAAGGTCAAGAATTTGAGCCGGGAAGAAGGTGATCGCGGTGTTGAAGCTGGTGAGTTTCGGGTTTTGGGTGAGACTCAAGTTGAGAGTCGGATTGTTGTTGATGATGAGCAATGCGTCGGTGGGAATTGGAGAGCGGTTTTGCTGGCGGTGTTGAAGATGTTCGCGGTGGTGGTTTTGGCTTTGAGTACCAAGAAGCTCGCTGTTGGGGTCACATTGTCTGCTTTTCTGCTTCTGTTTCTTGAATACGCGGGTAAGCACTTGGCCTGTTTCTTCAAACCATGCTCGAAAGCGAAATCTGTTTTGCAAAACATGGCTCAGAGGGCGTCTTCATTTTTATTGTTTCTGAATGGTTTTCATGAGAGTGAGGATTTGAAGGGGATGATTGTATGTGAAAATACTGGGGATGTTGTGTTTGAATTGGTTGATGCTACGAGTGATTCAGACTCTGCTATTGGAGAGATTCAGATTGTTGAGTCTAACAAGAAGGGAAGTGTGTGTGTTGATGAAACTGGTGGAGACAGACCTTTGATTGCTTTACTTGGTGCAGATTATGAGAAGGAGAGGGTCGTGGATAAGAGAGATGTTGGTGATAAAACTTTGGTTGAGTTGCTTGGTATGGATTATCAGAAGAGGACGGTGGTGGATAAGAGAAGAGTGGGTGCAGAAAAGGCAGTCGGTGAAAGAACTTTGGTTGAGTTGCTTGGTAAGGATTATAAGAAGATAAAGGTAGTGGAGGGTGGTGAAGATGGAGGTGAATTTATAGCAGATAAGAAGAGTAAGGGTGGCAAAAATTCTAACATTAAATCAAAACTTATCAAGAAATTTGTGCCTAAGAAGTTGCGCAGAAAGGGTAAGCAAAATGAACCGGAGCTGGAGCCTCTCCTAAGCAGTGAAGTTTCTTGTCACATGGGAGATGATAAGGTAGAGGGATGTGAAGAACATGAAGACCATAAAGATGTGAAACAAGAGGAACAGGAAAGCGAAAACATGTCAGTGTTTTCTGCAGAAGAGAAAAGTGAAATCCAAGGATTTGATGGAGTTTCTGATCTTGGCGAAGGATCATTGGCTGGGGGAGAAACACCCTTGATTGTTGAAAGGAAGGGAAGAGAAGGGAATTTAGGGTATCTGGTTCTCTTTCTAATTGTTCTTGCTGGACTTTTCGGAGGTCGGATTGTAGCCCTGATGCTTACAATCACTAGCTGCTTTATGCCGAAGTTGGCTGGAAGCCTGAGGAGATCGGTAAAAATATGCCGGTGTTCTGCCCCAGTCTCAAGTTAGAATATATGTGGTTGTTATAGTGATGTTCCTTCAGATATAGGGTTCTTGAATTCAAGTCTCGAATTGTAGTCTGAATGTGAAAGCTCAGTGCGATAGAAATTCCAACCTTTTCGTTGGATACCCAGCTTGAGGTGTTGTACTCAAAACTGTAAAATTGTTACACATACAAATCAATAGTACATAGTTCTTGTTTCCTTGTATTGATTTCGTTTATTTGTGATAGCCAAATCATTTTTTCATTATATCTGTTGTTCCGCTGTAGACTGGGGTGCAGAAAATACTGGCCAGAAGACACTCGTTTGCCCCAAAAGTTGCTCCGAAAGTATTGAGCGACTTTGTTACATAGATGGTGAGAAACTTCAATAAGCTTAATTTTTTCAAATCATCCTCATTTTTTCTTATTTTCTGAAGTCTAAATTGGAACTTTTAATTAGGTTGAAATCTTTTAGAAGAAGATTGGAAAAGTTGAATGCAATTAAGTAGTGTTAGTGTGAGAAAAAGAAATGATGATACTAGAAGACGACCGCGTTTATAGTTGATCACCTGTTCAAATACAATCACGGGATTCACACAATCATTATCTTCTATTGAACAGGAATGTTGACAATGGATTTACCTATCAAAACTCATCATTGAGTGCTTTTAATAATGTATCGACCTTTTATTCTAATTTCTGCAGTTCTATTTGGAAATTCTTCTTTATGCTTTATGTCAAGGCACTTGTAATCTAATTGGTTAAAAAGAAAACAATAAAATAACAGGGACCCAGCATTTGGAAGCTTCTCAAAAACCTTGGATCTATTCTCCACCTTCTTTAATTTAGTACCATTTGCTGTGGTCTTTCATTCCATTCTTTAGATATTGATTTAGCTGCTCACTTTCCATGTTGTCATCAATTCCTTTCTTATGATAACACTACATTGGTGACTGATTTCTGCATTTTTTTGATGATTCTTGTTTCTTGTTTCTGCAATTCGCAGTTTATTGAGCTGCCTTTCCACAGAAGTTGATAACAGGGCATGAGCTCAATGAGTTTGAGTACCTGACCTCTTTATTTTGTTTTGCCACCTACTTCTCAATCAGATTAATCTGTGAGTCTTTTCTAAGGAAGATAAGCATGCTCTTATGAACTCCATTTCCTGATATGCGAACCCTGCTCTGCACAGAAGATCAACTAGACAGCATGGGGTAACTTCCCACCATCTCATTAAACAATTTGCAGCCTCTATTGACTTCATTTTGCATTCTCCAAACTCCCATGCTTCAGGTACTTGTAGAGCACTACACACACACGAACACATTCATCTAGAAGTTGTTGATATCACTAACTGAGCTATGAAGCTAACGCTAATGCTATCAGTGGTGTTGTGCATCCCAGTCATTGCACACACAAACACAGACAATGTTGTAGATGATATTTTGAGGAGATGGTCCATCGTCCAGGTTTAACTTCCTAGCAGAGGATGCAAGCATGCGGGGTAGAGTAACAGGGTTAAAACATCTGCTCTCATCATATCTGTTACATGCATTCTTAATATCCAAGAAAATCTCGAAACCTTGTTTAAAGACCTTGTCTTAGTGAATGCATGAACCATTAAATTCCATGAAACAATGCCTTTCAAATCATAAGCAAGTTATGAAAACCAGTTATAGCCACTAAATTCTGTTGAGTTTAAAAACATTCAAGTGTGTGTATACACACACAAACACATATATCTATCTCTTATGTCCTGTTTTTTGGTCCTAAAATCTCACTTCTTAGGTTGTTAGAAATGCAGGCAGGTCTAGGGCACAAAGGTTCTTGCCTTCATCAGGAAGTAAAGGGAAACACAATAATGAAAACATTTGTAGAGTTCTATTCATGGATTCCATAACGCAAATGTGCCTATTTCATGATTTGGTATGTGGGTTGTAAGTGAAATATATAAAAGAACAGTTTATTTATTATTTGTTATTCAAGGGAGGGAAGAAAAATTCTGGCCATGAGTGTGTGAGTAAGTAACAACTTCTTGTTAGCCTATGAATTTGCTGGTTTGTAGTTGGATTACTGCTGTTTTCAAATACAAGGCTAACAAATTTTTCTCTGTCCAAATGTCTTGAACCACACGGATTGCCGGGTCTATTGCGTTGTCTTCGTTGGAAAACTGTGGCAGAAAATTTCTACGAAAACCCAATATTCAGGGTTTTTTTTTTTACTTTATTTTTTTAATGTCCAGGTAGTTTTTTCTTTTTTTTTTCCTTAAAATAAAAATTAATGAAAAATTACTTCTCGGAGAATGTTTTCACTTAGGGGCATTCAGATATGTTTCAAGATTGATATCAAAGAATTTCATAAAACCATTCGATTTCATGGAGATTTTAATTCACACTTCTACTTCTACAAATCCAGCTCACAAGATGCAAATTCACAATAATAAACAGAGGGATAATATGAAATATGAGAAACTATTTTCCAGGGAAAACATCTAAAACTTTGCCTGAAGACTGCTAATTACGGACTTGTCCACCTGGAAAGACTTGGCCAAAACATCATCTGGAATGGAAGGATTGGCTCCAAAAACAGCATTAGCAATGGTGTTGACTCCGGGGTTTTGGCTGCTTAATGAAGAGAGTGATATGGCATTTCCATTGCCGACATTCTGCTGGAAGTGAACTAGCCCAACTGGGAACACAAACACATCACCCTTGTAAAGGACCTTTGAGATGAGCTTGTTGTCAGGGTTTGAGGTCACAAAGCCAACATAGAGGCTGCCTTCTAGGACGGTCAAAATCTCGGTGGCCCGGGGATGAGTGTGGGGAGGGATAACACCCCATTTTGCATAGTCGATGCGAGCCAGAGAGATGCCGAGTGTGTTGAGTCCTGGAATTTGAACCACATTGACAGGGGTGACTTTCCCACCAACAGGGTTTGAGGTGTTGCCTGGGATGTGAAGTCCACTGAAGAAGAAATGCTCAGCCTGTGCTAGCTTGGAGTCCAAGCAAGGTAGCCCATTCACTCTTGTTGCTGTAATGCACAAGTTCAATTGACAACACAAAACACATAAAATTAAAGTCATTGTAAAATCAAGTAGGAAGAAGAAGAAGGATACTTATTTTTCAAAATGCAAATTAAAGCATACATAAACCGGTAATTTCGATCCGAACCTGAGCTAGTAGTGTCAGCAACGCAGAAATCTTGCAAAGGACTAGGCTCAAAAGCAATGACCAGAGCACATGTCACGGCTAGCAAAGTAGTCAATAGTAACATTTGGTTTGCCATCTTAATTTTTCACCTTCTTCTATGGGATGGGATTTTAAGTGAAGTTCTTGGAAATGAGAAACGGAAAGGATTGAGAGAGAGAGGGAGAGATGTGAAGCAATTGAATACAAACTTGGTTATTTATAGAGAAGGTAGTAGTAATTTGGTTATGATTCTGAATGAAGAACAAAGATATAATAGACAAACCTATGCCGGCCCTGCATTATAGACACTGGATAAGTCTCCTGAACGTACACTTAAGCTAAGAATTGTTCCTTCATTAATTTTCTATTCCTGTGATTTGAGTAAATGCTCATTCTGCATATGTTAAACATATCAAGACAAAGTATCCTGCTAAATTAACCGGGTCCAATTTAATTTTGTAATAATAAAATAAACTTTAAAAATCAATAACAAACCATGAAAAGTAGGATTCAGAAGCAACTTACAGAATTCTGAAACCATATAATAATAAGGCATCTATTTTTGTTTGTTTGCACATGCCTTGCTCCGGCAAAAGCTGATATATGGTGAGATTATAAGTTATATTGCCCATGTCTCTATCCACTTGCAGATTCTGGCCAGCTTCTCCTCAAGACTAAGTCACAGTGTGAAAAGGATGATAGTAAAGTAATGAAATATATCTTCATCTCTATGAATGCCTACTCCTTCCGAAGGCAAATTCAAACCATGAATTATTTATTTCATATGGTGCGGTGGCTAGAGGCTACAGAAAAAACGATGATCAAATTCTTTTGAAATGAAAGGTTCAAAGGTCCACCGATTCCTCATCGATAGATAGATGTATGAACTATGTGATGTATGCATAGCCATTATTTAGTGTGTTTTCTCCATCTGGAATCCGGATTAGGAAATTACCCTTTTTAATGTTTTTCTCCACTTTGGTGTATTCATTGGTCCTGTGGCAAATCTGAAATTTGATGATTGATTTTTATTTGACAATGAAGTGCCACAAACTGAGACTGAGAGTACATGCATGCTTACCATGATACCATCTCAATTCCCAAATAAGAACAAAATGAAAGAGCTCAAAATGAGATTACAATTGCTGTTCCAAACGAACATTAGAGGAATGAGAATAGAGCTTAATAATTTATCACATGGAAAAGTAGAGAAGAAAAGTGAAACCATCTCCTCATACTATAGTGGGCAAAATCCAAGTAATTCGCCCCCTGCACCGCAGTTGAAGCTTTGACCAGCAATGTTCCCATTTCCGGAGTAGAGTAGCACAAATGTATACCCATGATCAATGATGTATATGGAATCTGGACGAAACTCCGGACAGTGTAAAGTAGAGACAGACATGGATTCATACGAACTCAAGAACAAAGCATCAGTTCCTATACTCTCAATCTCAACACATTTCCTGATATGAGAATCCTTCTCTGCAGTGCAGCCTTTATTAAGCATGGGGTAACTTCCCACCATCTGATTAAGTAATTGCCAGCCTCTACTAAATTCACTTTCATTCCCCGAATTCCCACACTTCACGTACTTGTAGATTAGTGCTCTTCCCCGCAATATATCTTGTCCCACTGCTGTAGATTGTAGATAATACACAAGCACACATACGCGCGCACACACAGCAAACTATTCACCTAGAAGTTGTTGCTATCACTAACTGAGGCTCTGAAGTTAACGCTAACGCTATCAGTGGTGTTCAGAGGTGCTCTGCATCCAGGAATTGCACAGATGAAACTCTATACAAAAACAGACAATGCTGCAGATGATATACTGAGGAGATGTTCCATCTTGTATGTTTAACTTCCTAGCATGCTGGGTAGAGTAACAGAGTTATGACATATGCTCCCATCATATCTGTTATATGCATTCTTAATATCCAAGAAATTCTCCATGCACTGTTTAAAGACCATGTCTTAGTGAATGCATGGACCATTAAATTCCATAAAACAATGTCTTCTTATCATAAGTTATGAAAACCAGTTGCAGCCACTAATTTCTGACTCTTGATAGACATTGTTGAGTTTAAAAACATTCAAGTGTATCTGTTTATATAAACACATATTCATCTCTTATTTCTTGTTTTTTGGTCCTGAAATCTCACTTCTTGGGTTGTCAAAAATGCAGGTAGGTCCTGCTAAGAAACAAATGCAGGACGCAGAGGTTCTTGCCTTCATCAGAAAGTAAAGTGAATCCCATAACACAAATGTGCTTGTTTCATGCTTTGGTTAGTGGGTTGTAAGTGAAATATTATTAAAGAACAATTTATTTATTATTTGTTATTCAAGGGAGTGGAAAAAACTCTGGCCATGAGTGTGAGTAAGTTACAACTTATTGTTAGCCTAAGAATTTGCTGATCTTATTGTCTAAAATTGGAAGATGAAATGCTGGAGTAATGCTGTTTTCAAATACAAGGCTAACAAATTTTTCCTTTTCCCCTGCGTCTTGTATCACACAGATTGCCGGGTCTATGTTGCGTTGGCTTTGTTGGAAAACTGTGGCAGAAAATTTCAACCAAAACCCAATTTTAAGGTGTTTTTTCAAAAAATATCCAGGTAGATATTTTTCTTTTAAAAAGTCATGAACAAGTGCTTCTTAGACATATTTTCACTAAGGGGAATTCAGATATGAATTGATATCAAAGAATTTCATACAAAATAATTCGATTTCATGGAGTACACACTTCTGCTTCTACAAATCCAGCTCACAAGATGCAAATTCACAAGAATAAACAGAGGGATAATATGAAATATGAGAAACTATTTTCCAGGGAAAACATCTAAAACTTTGCTTGAAGACTGCTAATTACGGACTTGTCCACCTGGAAAGACTTGGCCAAAACATCATCTGGAATGGAAGGATTAGCTCCAAAAACAGCATTAGCAATGGTTTTGACTCCAGGGTTTTGGCTGCTCAGTGAAGAGAGTGATATGGCATTTCCATTGCCGACATTCTGCTGGAAGTGAACTAGCCCAACTGGGAACACAAACACATCACCCTTGTAAAGGACCTTTGAGATGAGCTTGTTGTCAGGGTTTGAGGTCACAAAGCCAACATAGAGGCTGCCTTCTAGGACGGTCAAAATCTCGGTGGCACGGGGATGAGTGTGGGGAGGGATAACGCCCCAGGGTGCATAGTCGATACGAGCCAGAGAGATGCCGAGTGTGTTGAGTCCTGGAATTTGAACCACATTGACTGGGGTGACTTTTCCTCCAACAGGGTTTGAGGTGTTGCCAGGGATGTGAAGTCCGCTGAAGAAGAAGTGCTCAGCCTGTGCTAGCTTGGAGTCCAAGCAAGGTAGCCCATTCACTCTTGTTGCTGTGATGCACAAGTTCAATTGATAACACAAGCACATAAAGTTAAAGTCATTGTACGATCAAGTAGGAAGAAGAAGAAAGATACATATTTTTCAAAATGCAAATTAAATCATACATAAACCAGTAATTTCGATACAAACCTGAGCTAGTAGTGTCAGCAACGCAGAAATCTTGCAAAGGACTAGGCTCAAAAGCAAAGACCAGAGCACATGTCATGGCTAGCAAAGTAGTCAATAGCAACATTTGGTTTGCCATCTTAATTTTTCACCTTCTTCTATGGGATGGGAAATGGAAAGGATTGAGAAATGGAAAGGATTGAGAGAGAGGGAGAGAGATGTGAAGCAACTGAAGTAGAAGCTTGGTTATTTATAGAGAAGGTGGTTATGGTTCTGATTCTGAATGAAGAACAAATATATAATAGACAAAGCTATGCCGGCCCTGCATTATAGACACTGGATAAGTCTCCTGAACGTACACTTAAGCTAAGAATTGTTCCTTCATTAATTTTCTATTCCTTGTGATTTGAGTAAATACTCATTCTGCAAATGTTAAACACATCAAGACAAAGTATCCTGCTAAATTAACCGGGTCCAATTTAATTTTGTAACAATAAAATAAACTTTCAAAATCAATAACAAAACCATATCAAGAAAAGTAGGATTCAGAAGCAGCTTACAGAAATTCTGAAACCATATAATAATAACTAATAATTAGAAAGGCATATGTTTTTAGTTGTTTGCACAAGCCCTGCTCCGGCAGAGGCTGATGATATATGGTGAGATTATAAGTTATATTGCCCTATGTCTCTGTCCACTTGCAGATTCTGGCCAGCTTCTCCCCAAGACTAAGTCACAGTGTGAAATGGATTATCGTAAGGGAATCAAATTTATCTTCATCTCTATGAATGCCTATTCCTTTCGAAGGCAAATTCGAACCATGAATTATTTATTCATATGGTGCAGTGCCTAGAGGCATAAAGAAAACGATGATCAAATTCTCTTGAAATAAAAAGTTCAAAGGTCTACCAATTCCTCATGGATATATGGACTATGTGCTGTCTGCATTATGGTACTTTTACATAGTGTGTTTTCTGTCTGCATTATGGATATATATATATATATATATATATATATATATATATAAAGCCCTAAAATTTATGGTTAAATGTGAAGGTAAGGCTGCAAAGGTGATCAATATAAATGTGGAAGAAGGTATTTTGCTAGAGAATTTTAGGAAACCTTTTGTTAGAAAGCGGACCTAATAAGATTTCTGTGTTATCAGCATGACCGGCCGTCTATTGGGATACAAATTTTTTAAACAAAACTCAAATATTTTTATTTTCAATTAAAACCAATTCTTCTTATTTTTCAGATTGAAAATTAGTGATTCAATTATTATATTTGTGTTCTACAATTGAAAGATTGGAGAAGCCATACCAAACTTCTACAGTTCTATATGTGCTGCAAATCAAAGGAGAAACTTTTACTGCATGGATTTTGCTTTGGCAGCTTGAATTCAGTGGACCATATACATAGAACCCATGTAGAAATAAGAGACCGAGATTAAACTGAGGTATTGTATTGTGAAGAAGATGAAGAAAATCTATTTTAAATAATTTATGCTAATCGAAAACGACATTTTCTGGCACTCTATAAAGGAAACTTAAACAGTGCCCTTGTCTCACTTACAAAAATATAAATGTCCTAACTACTTGTTGTAACTCATCCACAATTGATTTCTGTGGCCTGCCAAATTTTTTACATATCCTTGTGCTCTTGGAAGCCATTGTAGTAAGCTTTGATATGGCACCAGAGTTTTCCACATTGAAGAACTTTCTCAATGAGCCAGATTTCTCATCAGATTGTCAAAGACTCAAAGCTAATGTTGGTGGTGAACATGGCATATGGTTACCAAATTTTCCATTTTCATATATTCTTGCCATTTTCATTTCCGTTTAATTAGGAACGAAAACGAAGAAGATCAAGAAGAAGATAAAGAAGACGTGGGAAACCAACATGTTGATGAGATCAGCCTGAAATTAAGAGTAAAAAAAAGTTGTGAAAGAAAGCAGCAGAAAGCTTCCTATTTATATGTAGTTGATATATAGAAGCAAATGATGCAATGCAACTTACATTCCAAACTAGATCTTTGATTTTGCCGTCCAAAGTTCGATTCTCTCCAGCCAATTGTCTCAACTGTGAAGCAAAATTTGTCTCAAGTAGTCCAAAGCAAACACATAAGAAAAGCATTAGCCGGCTTGGCATAACCAAAATGTGTTTTTTTTTGGGTGCTATTGTGAATGGAATATGAGAAGCTTTAAATGGTGTCCAAAAACGATTTCCTTTTCCATTTGACACCCTTAATCTTATATGAAATCCGTAAGTTTTGTCCCCCAATATGTGTTGTTCACGTGGTCCTCTTATACAAGAAATTAACTTAACGGATGTCTTTGAATTAGAACAATTTCCAAACTACAAACACCAAATCCCATGCAATTGAAAATACATGATTAAAGTTGAACTTTGTGAAAACTACAGGGACTAAACACGTACTTTGACCAAAAAGAAATGTCAAACCCTCCTAGATTAGAAAAAAAGAAAGAAATACAAAAGAAAGTATAAAAAATATTTAAATGAACACAAGTAAAAAGGATAACAACTCCAAATTAATTTTCTTTCAAGAATACTATTTAATTTCATATGAACATCTCCATGTTGATGCAGGGAGCTCCTCAGGCATATGGTATGGGTGGTGGAATCAAATTTGATGGCTGGCAGTGGCAACTGCTAAAAGTGAATTTGATTTGGATACCAACTATATTACCTTTGTTTTCTCTTTATATCATGGGTAGTAAGATACAGAACAAAACTAGTACAAATAAAAATATACGTGTATTATTTGACAAACACTTATGTTTATGCTTGACAGAGAAATCACTTGAACCATCACTCCAGAATTCAAAGTAAGGGATTTGGGGTCACCTCCTCCTTATGGAACACTGTTTTTGGAACACGTCCTTCCACCAAGGAAAAACTGCCGATCCAGAAAACCAGTAACTAGCTAGGTAAGCCTTGCTGGCTGTCTGGTTTCATCGCATGGCTCACATAATAGTCACATGGATTTCCTTGCTACGTACCTTAATTTAAGCCTTTTATTGGCTGTATCACATCACATTGATTTTCTTGCTACTATTTTAATAACTAGCAATCAAGCCTTGCTGGCTAGTTGTATCATTTGTTTCGCATTTTGTTTTCTTAACTTTTTTGAAATATACATGTGTTATAATATGGATGAACGATAAAGTTTAATATGTTATAAATTTTAGGTATATATGTCTCAATGTGATAATTACATAGAAATAATCAGTGCAGACATAATCCGGCCCAATTATGAGATTAATACAATTAAAAGTCTCTTAATTTTATTCTTTTGATTAAAAAAAATACACATTCTATTAATTGGTAGAAGGGCACCACATTTCCCAACCATTTTCTGATTTCTTTTATGGAAAACAATACAATTTATAGAATTTTAATTGTTTTTTTTCTGTGTGTGTTCAAAATGACGTTGAGAAAAAAGAATCTGTCACAGTGTGGTCAAATTAACAAAGTTGACCAAATGGGACCCGCAAATCGTTTGACCCAACAGTCTTCTCAGATCCATTGACAAAAACAAACTCACACCCAACCATTACCCTCTGAGCTTCTACATGCCAGGTTAGCCCAACTGCCGGGCCCAAGCTGTAATTCTAATTCTAATTCAAATTCTTTAGGAAAAAAAAAAAGAACTTGAAAAGTTCCAGACTGGCCACCGTTAGAGACTTGGAATCCAACGTGAGGATCGCTGGCTTGATTCTTTGATGCCCATACAAAAACCGACGGCCTAGATCGTTCCGTCTCTTAAATCTTTACCAGTTCGACTTGATTTTTCCACAAACACGGAGAGAGAAAAAGAGACTCAAATTCCCTCTGCCACTGCACCACTTGACCCTAAACGCTGAAACTTGTTCCAGTGGTGGTGTTGGTGGTTCGTGGCAAACGAAAGAGTCAGAGGAACTAGGGTATTCGTATTCTGTTGTTCTCTTCCATTGGATCCGACCCGCGCTTCTTAAGAGGTTATCTATTGGCTCTCTTTTCTGATTTCAGTGGTTTTTGTGCAATTTGTAGATCTGGGTTTGTTGTTTTTTCGTGTTTTTCTTTGGAAGATTGTGGCTTTTCGGGTTTGATTTGTGGGTTTTGGAAGTGAGTCTGGTACGCGCATTGTGGGGTTTTTTTATTCAACAGTGTGGCTTTTGATTTCATGATGCTAATGCTAAATTATGGGGTTGAGGGGAAGAAGCATGAGTTTTGAGACTTAAGCATCAGTCTTGAGACTCTGTTCTATGGGAATTTTTAGAGAGAGATTATCTGGGGGTTTTTCAGCTCTTTTACTTGTTTTGATTCATTGAAAAAAAGAACAAGAAAAAATTGGATCTTTATGAATTAATTAGTTTCATTTGAGGCATTTTAGGGGAAATTTTCTTTCTGAATTATGTTATGAATAACGTGGCTCGCTTTGAAACTGGAAGGATGTTTTTTCTCAAGAATTTTCAAATTTTTTTTCCCTCATTGATGCATGTTAAAATTGATTTGTTCAAAATGTGAGTCTTAAGCTTAGAAGTATAACTATCACGTGTCATGGTCATTTAATGTGTTGAATTCACTACTGAAATCCAATTTTGCTTGTGGTGCTGGTAACTGCTTCACCTTCATAATTTTCACTTTTGATAATTTGGAAAGAAATATTTGTGGCCTTTAGACAGGTACTAGTTTTCAATCAGGGTCGGTTATTTGAGGAAGGTGTAAGAAAACTTTATTCTAAATTGTCCTTGTCAGTCCATAAGACTAAGCCAGAGGCCATACGCCTAGATCCATCAACATTGAGTTTACAGTAGCCAGTGCTAGGAGGTTCCCAAACAAAGAAAACTTGAACTTTAGGTCAATTACTGACATTATTTTTAGATACTAAGTTATCACATGTTACAAAGTTCTTCTTTGTAATTTCTGAATCCTTATCTCAACTGTGTCCTTAGATCCTTTTGGTTCTTATCCCCAATAGATCTGCATCAGAAAACTTTACAGAATGATTGAGAAGAAGTTGGAGTGGGTTAATATTATAAGAGTCATTATCTGTAATCCTTGACATTTTCCAAATTCCAGATGTAAATTAAAAGTTGTTCCTTACCTAATCTGTCTTTTATGTGCATGTTTCTCCAGCAGTGTTGTACATGAGAAGATGGTTGCGCAGGACTTCAAAGTTGATTTGAATAAAGCCCTCGTATTCCAGGTAAGGTTACATTGTCAAATGTTTCATTTTATTTTATCTATCCTTTCATGGGAGTCGATTATATGCATTGGGTCACTGCATTTGATGGACTTAAATGACTACATTGTCACATCTATATTTCAAGTTTGATCTCGGGGCTCATAGATTTTGACAGCACCATGTTTCTAGGTTTCTGCAATAGCGGATTGTGTGTAAAGAAGAATAAGTAAAAAGACATTTGTTAAACAATAGCCCAGTTTATAGAAAAACTTTCTTAACTGTCCTGAAGAATTTCAATAACTTTTAATTGGCTCCTCATTTTCCTTTTTTGGTAGTTCAGAACAAGCATTGCATTTTAGTTTTAGAATTACGTTTTCCACTTTCATTAATCTTTGAGCAGAGTGCTCTACCTCTACCTGCTCAATTTATTGTATTTGATGTGTTGTAATTGGTTTTACTGTAAATTTTACCCTTTGACAATTTTTCACAGGTTGGCCATCTTGGAGAAGCATACCAGGAGTGGGTTCACCAGCCGATTGTTTGCAAGGAAGGCCCTCGATTTTTTGAAAATGAATTTTGGGAGGTACTTCCTGCTCCTTTTGTTCATACTACGGATATTGTTGCACATGCATCTAGATTTTTTTTCTTGAGAATTTGGAGCTCCAGTTCTGACTCATTTGTACTACTTGAAATAGTTCTTGACCCGCACAGTGTGGTGGGCAGTTCCTGTCATATGGCTGCCAGTCGTGTTCTATTCTATCTCCATGTCTGTACGGATGGGCCATGGATTTCCTGAAATAGCTCTGATGGTTTTCGCTGGCATTTTCGTGTGGACATTGCTTGAATACACGTTGCACCGCTTTCTTTTCCACATTGAAACAAAGAGCTACTGGTGTGTTTCTTGTATCTCTCTCTCTCTCTCTCTCTCTCTCTCTCTCTCTATGTATCTATCTTTATCATATCTCTCCCTCTCCGTGTTTATGTATTTGTTCACTTATACGCATATTTGGAAAATCTTCGAGACTAATGTGCTAGTTTTGTTGAGATTGTTCAGGGGGAACACTGCACATTATCTTCTTCATGGCTGCCACCATAAGCACCCAATGGATGGCCTGCGACTTGTTTTCCCTCCTGCTGCAACAGCTGTTTTATGTGTTCCAGTATGTCTTTTCTTTCATATCACTTATTGTCTTGCCACATGGTCACTATGTTTTTCTTAAGAATACACTGGTGGCTATGGTTACTGATTTTGAGCCGTCAAATTCATTATTTTTCTAATGGAAAACACAATTACACGTCATACAGCCATGATACATTGCCTTGAATTTGATTAGATAGGATAGCTCAGTTACTGTTCTCAGTATTAAGATTACTTTACTGTGATCGGGAGGTTTACTTGGACATTATTATTATTACTATGATTTAAATTTGTCTAGGTATTAATCTTTGTTGTGTGATTGTAGAATTGTCCTTTCCAGTCATTTTTGTAAGAAAACAAAATCATTACCAGTCATAACTCTTTGGTCAATTGTTGCCAGTTTTGGAACTTGGTGAAGCTGATTTCCGTTCCTTCTGTCACTCCTGCTTTGTTTGGAGGTGGTTTATTGGGTTATGTGATGTATGATTGTACCCATTACTATCTCCATCATGGTCAGCCATCAAGTGACGTACCCCGAAACCTGAAGGTAAATATCAGTACAGGTTTCATGCTTGCAGGATATTTTACCTATTAGACCCAAAACTACGTTTTCTTTGTAGTCCAGATCAGGAACTATAAATCTTGTAAAGTAGAGCATCAGAAAGAACAGCAGAAAAATGTATGTTTTACGGGAATTGGTGAATGCTAACAAGAATGAGCTGATGTTTGCTTGTTTTGGCAGAAATACCACTTGAATCATCACTTCAGGATCCAAGATAAAGGCTTTGGAATAACTTCAAGTATATGGGACAGGGTGTTTGGAACACTTCCTCAATCAAAAGCAGCCAAAAAGGACAGATAATTTTGCAAGGGTTAACAGGTGGCATTGGTTAGGAAAAGCAAGTGAAAGGGAATTCAACATTAATATTCTTTATTTTTGCTGTCTCCTAAATTTGTTGTACGCATAAATTATTTATGTCTTGTGGGTGGCATGTCATGGATGAAGGTGTCAATTTTTTGTGGTGCTGTCGTGTATAAATTAACAACGTTGACTGTCCTTGGATTCGTTGGTTGTTTATGGGAGCAGACTTCTCCTACTTGTCTATATTGCCTTAGCCTTTAAGTTTTCTTGCATGTCAATTCCCTAGTATGAATCTTGTATGTCTCTTTTGTTGACTGTTTTTTTTTATTTTATTTTTTATAATAGCGTCGAGAATGTTAATGTTATTAGTCCCCATGTTATAATATTAGTAGATGACATGATACTAAATAAATAAACGTGTTATAACATGAATGGTTCGGTAAACACACATGGTCATGTGACAGTCACACTCAAAAGCTTATTTCATAAGAGAGCATCCTTGACTGGGTTTGTTCTCATGTTGTAAACATGTTTATATTTATTCTAACATAACCGTAATATGCATATGCCAAATCATTCTATCCAAAAAACATAGTGTTGCAAAGGAATGGTTAAAAGAAGTTATCCATGCACTTGAGCTACTGTGTTTGAATGAATCTTTCTCCCTCAAATACGGAAAGACTATAATGAGGAGTTTAGAGTGAAGAGTTTATTTGAGGGGTTCAATCCCATCTTCAACAAATGTAAGGAAATCAATGAACTTAAACATTTTAAATGGTTTGATGGTGGGATTGAACCCCTCGAATAAGCTTCTCACTCTAAACTCCTTATTGTAGAAGCTCTCCCCTAAAAAATCTTGTCCGTTTTGAAAAAAAAAAAAAAAAAAGATGTGCCAAACTGGGCCTAGATAAGAATTTAATCTCAGCCCATATTGAATTGGTTAGCTGTTCTGGTACGAAATCGATTCCGATCTAACTTGGGTCGAGAACAAAATGAAGTCTGATCCAAAAAATTCCAAAAAAACCCAAATCTGGGGGGTTTAAGGATCCGATTGGAAATCGGGTCTTCCGACCCAAATCATTAGGGTTCTTCTCGCGGCCAGTTCTCAGTTGTCAGTTGTAATATTAACATAGGCGGTTGGGTTCTCTTCTTCTTCGATTCGCGCTCTCTTTGGGTTTAGCTATTAATCAGAATTTTGGGGCTTTAGGGTTTGCTGCTTGTTAATGGACTTCTTCAGCGCCTTCGTCCCACGGCAATAAATCTAGTACTACTCTTCTCTCTCTCTCTCTCTCTCTCTCTCTCTCTCACTCACCGTGTTACTAAGGAACACGTTAACTTTTTCCCTCTCATTTTAAAATTTTGTTTACTTTTCCGACTGGTAGCAATGGCAGCAGACGTGCCAGTGAATCTCGAGGTGGTCAATTCATGTTGTGCTGCGGTAATGGTTTCGAATTTTGATTTTCGTTTTCCTGTGAATTTATTTGAATATGGTATTCGATTTCAATGTTCACCTAGTTTTATGATTTTTTATGCAGTGGAAAAAGAAGTACTCAAAGATTGAAAACAGACGAAAAGCTCTGCGGGAAGCTGTGGACGTCCTTACGGAAGGTAATTTTTGAAGTATCTTTCAGACATTAAAAATTCAGTATTATTGGGTAAGCTGTTGAAATGATAATCATTGCTTCACCCGTTTCACTTGGATTGTGGATTAGATAACAAGATTCATGTCTGAAGCTCCTTCTCTAGTGGTTGTAAATTGAGTACCTTTTTGTTTTCTGAGCACAAGGTTTTTTGTTTGATAGTCATCGACGTATTTTGTATGTTTTTGTTCCCTACCTGTTGAAATTTATGCTTTAGGGTTATTATTAGTTTACCTATAAGACTTATGTGTTTCATGTTAAACATGAATGAGATGCAAAACAAGGCCACCCAAATCTGTTATCATGCAGTAGCATGCTTACAAATGGAAAGGCCAAGATGGCCAAGAGTAAAGTAAAATTTTCATGAAATGCTTCACTGAATGTCCAGTTGATATGTTATTGTTGGTTAGTGCATATTTGTTTTTCCTCTGTTGGAGAGTGTCTTATAAATTCTCCAAGTGACAAATCTCGTTTTCTTGCAGCATATGATCAAGAGAAAGCTCGAGCAGATATTGAGAAAGGGGAGAAAGAGAAAGAATCTTCCATTAGGATGTCTTTGGAGAATGAAATTTCTGGGTTGAAATCTGAGATATATTCTCTAAAGCAGAGAGGAAATGCAGATGCTCAAAATAGAAATGAAGTAAACCTTCTTAAAGCTCAAGTTTCTGACTGCGAAAAAGAAATTAATCGTCTCAAAGACCTAATTGAGAGAGAGAAGAAAAGGGCAGAGTCAGAAAGTAAGAATGCAGAAGTGGAGAAGAAAAAGGCTTGCGAAGCACATAAAGTTGCTAAAGCTGAAAAAAGTAAGGCTGATGAAGAAAGGAAGCGCGCCAATACTGAAAAAGAGAAGGCTGATAATTATGAGCTTCAGTTGGAGGTATTGAAGAAAGAAGCGCATAAAGCAAGTTCTAATTTGGCCTCTGAAACATTGAAGCTTGTTGAGGCAAACAAAAAGCTTGAAGCAGAAAAACAGAAGGTGGTCAAGGAGAGAGAATGTGCAAATTCAGCGGTGGTGAAAGCAGAGGAGCAAAACAAGTTTGCAGAAGTGAATAGGAAGAAGAGTATAGAAGAAAAAAGTCGCGCCGAACGTTTGTCTCTGGAATTGGTAGAGAGTAGGAAAAGGATTGATGAGTTACAGAAAGAGTTAAATGAAATTAGGTGTTCAAGAGAATTGCACGAGGCTCCTGGCGGCCAACCTGATAATAATAGAAAGGTAATGGAGCTTCCAAATTTTGAGGAAGCATATAAAAGGTATGAAACTGAAAAACAGAAGGCAATCAAGGAGAAAAAAAGGGCAGAGTCTGAGATGGCGAAAGCTGAAAAGCAGAAAAAGCTTGTGGAAATGAATTGGAAGAAGGCTATGGAAGAAGAATCTCGTGCTGATCATCTGTTTACGCAGTTAGACAAAGCTAAGAAGAAGATTGAGGAGTTATCCTCTAGAAAATTGATTGAGGCATCTGCTGTTGAACTTGGAAAAGATATGGGTGCTGAAAGTGCGAAAGTGAAAGATTTGAAGAAACAACTTAAGTTTGAGAAAATGCAAAAGAAGCATGCCAAAGAAGTAGTCAAGCTGGAAAGAAGTCGGAACAGCATCCTGCAACAAGAACTAGGTCGCTTGAAGTTTGAGTTCAATCAATTTTCACAGCGCCTGGGTATGCTAAATACAGCTTTCTCGCATAGTGCGGAAGGTATAGATGACCCAGAAAAGGTTCGTTTTCCGCAGTCTAATCTTTATAGCTACCATGCTTCAATTTGATTTTGTAGTTAATAACTCCGTATTGTTAGTTCTCAAGATGTTGGTGAGGAATCTATACTTGAAACATAGCATACATGTTTTAGAGTTTGCTACAGCTACTGTTGATTTATTTTCTTTTTTCAGGCGTGGTTGATGACAAATGAACCTTGTTCATCTGATGGCTTTTAGTGTTGTAATCTGGTGGGTAGAGCATAAGCTTGCTCATTGTTGTACTTTAATGCTTGGAAAGTAGTACCAGAATCACACTAATAAGGTTTAGACTTAAAAGTAGTTGCCTTTAGTTGGTAACTGTACCGTCTTTCCCTGCAACATTTCTTCTACCTCCAACCAGAAGTAGAAAATATAGGAAAGAAAACCCTCAGCTTCTCTATTATTTTCTTTTGCGTCTGTTATGTTTAGATTGAACAACTTTTAAGATAAAGGGAAAAGCATCACAATTTTACTCTCCCACTTATTATACTAGTCTAGTTATAGTTTTGTATCAATGAGTATATTTCCTTTGACATGTGACTTGAGGCTTTGTTTTCGGTCCAAGACTTGTGCCTGCAAGTTTTTCAAAACTTCAGTTTGGCTTCCAACTGCATAGGTTTTTATTGAACATTTATGCTGATGTCTTGTCCTTAACAGTCTCAATCTTGTCTCTCGTGGATATTTTACATTATTTACCCCAATGTGATCGTTATTTTCACAAGATTGTATTCTATCACGCTTACTAAAATGGACTTGTGCAATTTGCAGATGAACATTGAAAGTGGATTTAAACGTCTGAAGCCGAACTGCCCAGTTTTGGATGCATCTCAACGTACTGCACCATTTCTTCCTTTATCTGGAGGAAACTGCACTGATTCTATTTCAGGTATTGATTATATATTGGAGTCTCCTGTCAGAGGCTCTAACAGAAAAATGTTACAGAGTTATCCAATAAATTCCAGTACAGCATCTTTTTCTGATGGACAGTTGGTGGGCTCACAGGATAAGGGTGCCTTTTCTCTTACCGCGTCAGAAAAATTGGTTGAAGAGAATGTTCAACCAACAATATCCAACTTGTCTGCTGAGGTTACCAAAATAAATTGCTATGAAAATGTTGCCGTGGTGGCTGAAAATAGTGTCAGAAGTCCTGTCAGAACTGATGGGGTTGGAAGAGTTGATGAGCAGAGTAGGAAGAGAAAGAGGATACTTCATGCAGTTGAATCAATTGAAAATCTATATTTTGAGGGTAAGAAGTTGCACCTGCGGGTAGAGGAGAACCTTTCTGTTTTGCACTGTTTGTTGAACAAGCAAATTGAAAAACCTTTTGAAGAAGGGAGGAATCTGCTTCCTGGTCTTCAGGGTGATTCATATGCAAAGCATGGAAGGGATTATGAGAAGGGGAAGGAAAGTACTGAAGAGAAACTAATAATGCAGAATTATGCTGATGGTAATGAGCAAAAGAAGGCCAATAAATTTGAAAATGAAGTCTGTGGATGTGCAAATGTCTGCAGACAAGTTTCAAAAAAGGCCAATGAGCTGGTATTGGTCCCTCAAGCAAGCAGAGATGGCACAAGTGATTTTGAAACCATGTCAAGTTTTTATGAAGTAACTGATGGGAACTACTTGAAACTGTTAGACTTGGACAATGCTGCTGATGAGGAATTGTATCGGATGGCAAAGGAAATGCCACTGTCTCCTACACTTCCCGAGATTGAGTTTCGTGGTGTTGAAAGATCCAATGTGGAGATAAATTCGAATAACTTGTATTTTGATGATTCTGAAATTTTCAATAATTCAGTAGGGCATAAGAATGGAGACACCGTTGATTCTTTTACCATAATAGGGAAGACTGGGAATGGTAATTCTATTGCAATGAGAACAGATTGTGGTGTCCAGGACTCTGGTGCTGAAGTGATGTCTAATGCTCCTAATTCAAGAAATGAGGAGGCTATGGTCCCATTTGGAAGTGAACTTGGGTATGCGGGTGGCGATATCCTTACGTGTTATGTTGTGTTCTCTAATATTAAAGACAGCAGCAGCATTTCTAGGATATGTTCTGCTTCCAGAACTTGTATTACACAGTGCTCTTTGGCTACTCATACAGATTGGATGGTTCGAGAAATTCTGCTTGCTCTCAAGACTGAAGAAAATCTTTTTCCCAAGTAAGTAATTCATGGTAATCAAGGATGGTACATTTTTTGTATATTTGGATAGTTGGTCTTTCGCTCTCTCTCCCTCTCTCTCCTTTTCTCCTCCTCCTAAGCAAGTTGTTCTGTCCTTGTGATTGACTCACTTTTTTTTTAATTCTTGAACATGCGAAGTTAGTTTAGATGAAAGAGGCCTAATACTTAGTAAAATAGTGGACATATGGGCTAATTGATTGTTTTTTGGTGGTCTTGTTTAGGGAAAAGGTATGTGTTTTCTTCTCAGTGTTGCTGCTTAACTTCTCCACTGCTGCTTTGAGTAAATTTGGGAGCTTGAAGTGGACGTCCAACCTCTGTTTGGATGCTTTTGCCCGACACGTGGGCTCAGGTCTGTATTTGTTTCTACATCATGTTATGTTATAATCTAGAATGTCATTCTTGGTTTCCTCTTTGATTTTGTTCATTAAACTTATGGTTTCTTTCCTTTTTTTCAGTGATGTCTGATGGGGATGGAAGAAGCATATTTGCAGAACTTGGTTGTTTGGACGAATCACTTAGTCTCATTGAGGATTTCTTAATAAATGGAAGAGTTCTGGTGTGTAAGGATGCATCTTCCGAGGCCCGGGTAGAGTGTCACTCTATGGTGAACATCCTATGTGATGGCATACATATATCCTCTCGACCCGCATCAGCAGATGAGTTGGTGGCAGGGAGCATTGTATTAGCATCAATATGTGCAGCGTTTGACCATATTGGTTTTATAAGTGAAATGTCGTACAGCATTTTGCAGATTAGTAGATCTAATCATTCATTAGTTCTGACTATTCTGCATGCTTTTGCTTATATTGGGGGAGAGAAGTTTTTTAACTTTTGCAATTTCAATTTAGTTACTGTCATGAGATCTATAGTTACATATCTCGAGAAAGTAAGCATATCAAATTCTTCTGGCTCTTGTATTCCATCTGCAAGCAATTCTCAAACAGTGTTCTGTACACGTGTGAAATGCCCATTTTCTGAGGATGCAGTTTCTGTAGATACTGCTACATCATTTCTTTTAGAAAGGCTCCAAATTGGTGCTTTGTCAGGAGCTACATATCAAGATGCGATGGAATCAGGCAGTTCGAATTCGAATTCCTGTATCCTGTTCAAAAAGTATAAAGCTGAACGAATTGCAAACCCTGATAATTGTGGACTTGGTGTGCACGGTGATTTGTCCTGTTGTTTAAATAAGTTTGCAGTGCCTAGTATTCAATCAGACTCTTCTACCAATTTCACTCTCTGCGATCTCAGTGATCTCCTATCCTTGGTGGAGTTGGTTGCAATCAACATGGTTAGTGTTTATACCTTCTGGAGTTTTTCATGGATATTGTTTCCTCAATTTCCTACTCTCTTGTGTACGACTTAGAGATTGATCACTCATAGCTGCTCTACTTGTTACCCTTGTTACACCCTTTTGAGTTCATTGTTGATACTTGAGACTGTTTCCTTAATATCCTACACTGTTGTACTAATGACTTAGAGATTGATCACATGTAGCTGCATTACTTTTTGGATTTAATTGTTCTATGCCAAAAAAAAAAGGAGGGTATTATCATCCTCTCAAATGTCTTTGTTTGTCTTGTGCTGATCATTAGCTATATTACCATATAATGCTGGCATAGTATTAGAGTGATACAAGTAGATGGACCAAAATCTGTTGTTAATGCTTATGATATGTTTGTATGTTGCAAAGTTTCAAATTTTATCTGAAATGATCGAATGTATACAAGTTATTGACTGTTTTGTTTGAAGTTCATTACAAACATAGCATTTCTTATAATATTTCAAAGTTGACTTAAAATATGTTAGCAGTTAGACATTTCCCATTTTGTTATTGTCTTTTCATCTTGAGAAAAGTATTGGTTCAGATGGTTCTTAGGTACTAATACTTGGACTTTTCTGCTTGTTTTCCTCTTTAAATGCAGAGCTGGGAATGGACAAGTGCCAAGATTGTTCCTCGGCTGTTGAAAGTGTTGGAATCGTGCATGACTGAGAATGTGATTGCTGGAATTGTTGTTCTCCTTGGCCAGCTTGGGAGGTATGTTCTCGACTAATTTGCCTTGCATCATATCATGAAATTGTATGTTTTTGATCTGTTACTAATCAACTGTTATTTATACCATGGGAAGATGTTAATTCTATAATTTTAGAACGAAGCTCCTTTACTTCATTCATCCAATCCAATCTTATATATTAGGCCAAATATCGTACCAGTGCCACTACTTTTAAGTTCTAATTTAACACTATGTTATTTATTTTCAGGCTTGGAGTTGATGCCCTTGGATATGAAGATAAAGGCTTGGAAATCTTGAGGTGTCAATTGTCTGTATTTTTATGCCGGGACTCTGCAATTAGTGTCGGTCTCCCCACTCAAATTGCCACTGTTACAGCATTGCTGGGCCTTATGCCTTCTGATTTTGAAACAATTATTCAGGGAAATGTGGAGCCTGCAGCCATTGCAAGTCAGTCTGATCCAGCTCAGTCTATGAGGAAGTGGTTTTTTTCGCTGCCAAAGAAGCAACAGGACTTGTCACTTGGCATTCTACAAACAGCTGGTATATTTGAAACAACTGGGCGTGTTTAAACTGCAACGGTACACTGACGTGTAGTGGAAATGTTGACGCAATTTTTGTATGGATCATCCCAAGATTTTCTTTTTCTCTTTGGGGGGTTGAAATTAATTCAGAGCAGGGGATTTTGGTCAATTCCACCATTTGAATAGGGTGCTACCTTGAAGAAATTGAGGATTTCTGTCTGAGACGGCCGACGGGAATGCATTTTTGTTATTTTCACCGAAGAGCTTGTAAATTTCTGAGCCAGCTATTGCGATAGTTTGTAAATTTTGTTATGAAATCATTTCTTCAGGTCAGTAAATTGTTGCGTTTTGACCCTTCTTGCAGAGATTTTGCACCAAATATTGTTTTCTTCTCTGTTGTGTTGAACGAAGGAGTAAAAAATGAGTCCACCGAGGTTTATTCAACAATTTATAATAATGGCTGACATTTGGTTAAGCAGAAGCGAAAGTAGGCCATTTCACCAAAAATGAAGGCAATTGAAGATTGCAAAAACACCACAAAACCTACAAAACAATTAACTAGTTCTGTTTTCGTTTCCGAAAGAAAGGAACAAGAAAAAAAAAAAGGAACAAAACCTCTCTGTTTGGGTTTCGTTTCACTGGGAATTGAATGGAACAAAGTGTGCATCACACCACCCAACGGTGACCACTTGTAGTCTCTCAATCAAGCGGTCTGGGACACTTCTTCCACAACCCTCTGCGTGTGTCTCTCTGTCTTGCCATTTATGTTGACACGTTGACAAAACAAAATAACAGAGCTTCTCTCTCTCTCTCTCTCTCTCTCTCTCTCTCTCTCTCTCTCTCTCCGTCTGTGTGTGTACAATAAGTACACACAACATAAGCAATTGCGTTTTGAGTAAATGTGTCACCTGCTCTCAAGTAAAGTAGTGATCCAACAGAAATGAAGGCAAGCAAATCCCAATTAGTTTCAATAACTTTTTCTGTATTTGATGCATGGCTACATATGGCAGGATGAGAGAGAACAGTTTAGTTGTACAATTGCATATTTTTTGTTGGCTTCTCATGTCCTAATGTTAGCTAGATTTGTTCAAGTCTGAAAGCTTTCCTTTAAAACTCTTCAGTGCATGAGCATGCATTCATCTTGATTTTGCAGATGTAATTAGGAACTGTTCCGCGTGTGGATGGCCAACTAGCTATGACAAGGGCATTTGGGGATGGAAAACTGAAGGATCACATAACTTCAGAACCAGATATAAAAGTTAAGAAGATCAACGATGAAACAGATTTCATCATTTTGGCAAGTGATGGCTTGTGGAAGGTCAGCTTAAGCTTTTGTTTCTTTAAAGATTTTAGCATAGCGTGATTCAATAATGATAATGCATTTCAAATTTAGTCCTTCCAAAAGCTTGAAAGTTTTATCTGTACAGGTGATGTCAAACCAAGAGGCTTACGATTGCATTGGAGAATTAGATGATGCTCAAGAAGCTGCTGAGGAGTTGATTGAAGAAGCATTATCTAGGGAAAGCTATGATGATGTCTCCTGCATAGTTGTTGTCTTTCACTAGGTATATGTCCTGATTTTCTGCAGCAGGATTTGAAAAGTCTAAAGTTTATTTTATAATGAGTAATTTTCAATTTTCTTCCTAGTGTTCCATTGCAAAATTTAAGAGTAATTTTACAGGCATGGTGAGAATGAAAACAATGGTAATTCCTATATTTACATGTTATGAACAGTTGGCACTATCATTTTTTTCTGTCATGTTGATGGAGGGTGACGGCAAAATGTCGATAGTCATATGTAGCATGAAAGCAAATACCAGCTGATCCTTACAAGGCGAATGTTAACGTTTCTTGTGACTAGCTTATGTCACATGCTGGGTATATGATAAGCTGAAAGCTACATTATCCTTCACATAAAAAAGCCGAAAACTATGATGAGAGGTTTTGCTTGCTGAAGTTGTTAGGCTTGCTAGCTGCATATAAAAATGCTCTTAATGTACAAACAAATCAAAACAGACAGAAGTCTGGGTCTAAACTTCTGTAATTCTAAACAAAGCAGAAAGAGGTGGAATACTTTGTTCATTTCTGAAGAAATTGTCTGGATCAACCTTGCTCTTCACTTGTGCCAGCCTCTTGAAGTTACCCTTGAAGTACTTTGTGCCCCAAGCACTTGCTTCCAAGTAGCTTGTGTTGTCTTGCTTGTTGCTCCCCAAATCAAGATCCTTATAGTTGATATAGGCACCTCTCGGAGATCTAGAAACATAAGGGCTCATGAACCTATAAAGCATTCTTATCCAGTGTATATGCTTGTTGGTTTCCTCAACACTATTTACATCCCACTTCACTATGTATTGTATGTTGAACAAATTACCTTTTCTGTGGGGAAATGGAATTTCAAAGTCTAAAATCTCATTCATCCTTCCACCATAAGGATCCATTATCATGAACACTGTTTGATCTTGCTGAAACCTCTCCCAAATCCCATTTAGAGCAACCTCTGGTATAGGTTGCTTGACATAGTCAGATTTAGCCTTGAAATTGCTCTTCCAGAGGGGGTCCCTAGATAGCAAGACCTCTGGGGACTGATCTTTTTGGAACCCAGCAAAATACTGGACAGATTGGATCCAACTCATTTCAATGCAGTCTTTTGCCTGCAATCCAAGCTCTGGAAAGCTCTGATCCATCAATGGCACTAGTCTGTCAATTCCTCCTAGAAACAATGAGTTGAAAGATACTTGGACTTTTTTCTCCTTCCCACTCCCCACATTTTCAATGATGATCCTGATGAAAAGATCTTCATGAAACTTGTCTGCAATGTATTGCCACCTGTGAACAAGTTTGCTTGCACCTTCTGCCAATGTTTTGTGAACTGTGAAAACAGTCACAATTTTTGGAACCTGAACCAATTTGATTTTCCATGAAAGTATGATCCCAAAACTTGACCCCCCACCTCCTCTAATGGCCCAAAACAGATCCTCACCCATTGTTCTTCTGTCAAGGATTCTTCCATTGACATCAATTAGGCGAGCATCTACGACATTGTCAGCTGCTAGGCCATGCTTCCTCATCAAGGTACCAAACCCACCTCCACTGAAGTGCCCACCAATTCCAACAGTAGGACATAACCCTGCTGGAAATCCAAGGCTTCCACTTTTCTTGGCAATGCTATAGTAAAGCTCACCAAGTGTAGCTCCTGACTGAACCCAAGCAGTTTGATCTGCAACATTGACCTTAACAGACCGAAGATTGATGAGGTCAATGATGACAAATGGGGTTTTGCAGAGGTAAGAGAGGCCTTCATAGTCATGGCCTCCACTTCTAACCCTGACTTGTAAGCCAAGATTTCTGCTGCAAAGAAGAGCTGCTTGGATTTCAGACTCCTTGAGAGGTGTAACAATGAGAAGAGGTTTTGATGTGGAGTTTAACCATCTGGGATTTTGTTGGGAAGATTGCAAGATTGATGAATACGAAGAGGAATTTGAGGTGTAAATGGTTTGATCAGAAGTTCTAGTGTAGTTACTGGATTGAACTGTCATGCACTGGCTGAAAATTTGTCCACTGGTTGAACTAGAAGTTGGCAGTGAAACTGAGACCAAAAACAAAGAAGCTAAAAGTGCAATTAGCTCCATCTCTATGAGGAGTTGAAGCTTCTAGATTTGCTTTTATAATGTCATTTAACTTGTATGGCTACATATATATATATAGTCTTTTTTCTGGGTGGGGTGTGATTTTTGCTTTTAACTTGTAGAAGTTCTGAATTCGGCTTGTTTTTACTTCTGCTCATCTGCATATATAGAAACAAAAATAAAAAAATAAAGTGATAATTCCAATGGAGTGGATCAAGCATCTACCATATTAAAACCAATTTGTCCTTTTTCACTTCAATCGGCAATTGGCAAACTGAAGTTAAAAGTCTACCTGTTTTCTTGTTTCAGATGTAACCCACAATGTGTCATGACCCCCCAGTCTCCTAACCTTTTGTTTAATAGATAGATAGAGGGTTAATTAAATACATTCTTATAATTAATGGGTATGAAGTTCCACTAGGTGCAATTTGAAGAAAACATATGGCCATTGCTTGTGGAACTTCCATTGGCTCTATTGTAGCATTCTAGGATCAACATGTGTTGAATAGGTCATATCGTTGCAGTTGATCTGCATGCCGCATCAGTTAAGATAACCTGGCTCTTCTTTAATCACACACTTAAAACAATCACTTGGTACATCATATGTATGTTACGTTAATTAGTTCAAGTTCACAATGTGTTTACGTCACTTTACACTTAAATTCGAATATTATCCGTCTTTTTACATTTAAATTCGATTTTATATCTCAATAGAATTCATGATAGAAATATTCTTTTTATTTTTATTTTTATAATCTTTATCCGAAGAGAAGAAGAATAAATAAGGGAATTTCACTAAAACACCCAAAATGGGGGTTGAAATTATAAAAAAACCCAAACACTATTTAAACATATAAACACACCCAAAACCCATCATTATACACACTCAAAACCCATTTATAAACACACCCAAAAAGTTGACTTTGGGGTTAATTTTGGGTGTATTTCTATGTTTAAATAGTGTTTAGGTTTTTTTATAAATACATGTCTAGGATTGAGTTTTATCTGTTCTTATCATTATAATATTTGATATGTGGGCCACGGCCCACTTGATATTATATTTTTAGATGGGGAGGCCCACAGTAGCTTGCTATTGGGGTTTTAATGCGTAGCCCAAGTATTGCATTACAGCATGGCCTTGGCATACCCCAACCAAAACTAGTTAAATATTTTAGCCTGTTCTAATGCCATCTCTAGTAATGAGGGCTAAATTAGCCCCGTCCTATAAAATAGCCTTTTAAAATATGTTCAAAAAAGAAAAAAAAAACTAGCATAGGGTTAAATTATTGAGTTAATTACTGTTTAGTATTATGTGATTACACTCTTATGATGGGGAAGGTGAGATTATTTTTTAAATACAATTTTTTATATAATGGGTTTTTCCATTTTTAAAATACTATTGAAAACGGAAAAACTGAAATACCCCTTTTAAAATGGATGAAAAATTAGATGGTGTTAAAATCAAATGACAAATCATGAAAAATTAAAGTGACATTTCTCTTAAATTTTTCTTTAAGGTGACAAATTTGAAACTGATGTATCAGTTCAGGTAACATTTCTACAAAAATCTCTTGTTTGAAATTTAGCAATAGATTCTTATTTCAATCCTATTTTGTTTCTCAAAATAATTTTGTAGTTCGAAATTTGAGATTTAAGTTGACTCTGTCAATAGTCATATGTAGCATGAAAGCAAATACCAGCTGATTCTCACAAGGCAAATGTTAACGTTTCTCGTGACTAGATTATGTCACATGCTGGATAAGCTGAAAGCTACGTTATCCTTCAAATTTAAAAAGCCGAAAACTATGATGAGAGGCTTTCTTTGCTAAAGTTGTTTGGCTTGCTAGCTGCATATGAAAAAGCACTTAACGTACATATAAAGCAAAACAGACAGAAGTCTTGGTCTAAACGTCTGTAATTCTAAAAGAAGCAGGAAGAGGTGGAATGCTTTGTTCATTTCTGAAGAAGTTGTCTGGATCAACCTTGCTCTTCACTTGTGCCAGCCTCTTGAAATTACCCTTGAAGTACTTTGTGCCCCAAGCACTTGCTTCCAAGTAGCTTGTGTTGTCTTGCTTGTTGCTTCCCAAATCAAGATCCTTATAGTTGATATAGGCACCCCTTGGAGATCTAGAGACATAAGGGCTCATAAACCTATAAAGCATTCTTATCCAGTGTATATGCTTGTTGGTTTCCTCAACACTATTTACATCCCACTTCACTATGTATTGTATGTTGTACAAATTACCCTTTCTGTGGGGAAATGGAATTTCAAATTCTGAAATGTCATTCATCTTTCCACCAAATGGATCCATTGTCATGAACACTGTTTGATCTTGCTGAAACCTCTCCCAATCCCTTGTAGACCAACCTCTGGTATAGGTTGCTTCACACAGTCCGATTTAGACTTGAAGTTGATCTTCCGGAGGGGGTATAGCAAGACCTCTGGGGACTGGTCTTTTTGGAACCCAGCAAAATACTGGACAGATTGGATCCAACTCATTTCAATGCAGTCTTTTGCCTGCAATCCCAGCTCTGGAAATCTCTGATCCATCAATGGCATTAATCTGTCAATTCCTCCTAGAAACAGTGAGCTGAAAGATACTTGGACTTTTTTATTCTTCCCACTCCCCGCGTTTTCAATGATGATCCTGAGCAAAAGATCTTCATGAAACTTGTCTGCAACGTATTGCCACCTGTGAACAAGCTTGCTTGCACCTTCTGCCAATGTTTTATGAACTGTAAAAACAGTCACAATTTTTGGAACCTGAACCAATTTGATTTTCCATGAAAGTATGATCCCAAAACTTGATCCCCCACCTCCTCTAATGGCCCAAAACAGATCCTCACCCATTGTTCTTCTGTCAAGGATTCTTCCATTGACATCAATTAGGCGAGCATCTATGACATTGTCAACTGCTAGGCCATGCTTCCTCATCAAG